GAGACAGAGAACTTCATGACCTTCATGTTGTGGGCAACTTCGGAGGTGGTGATGGTACCAGACTTGACCAAGAATTGATCGACACCAACGAGACCAATGATGTTACCGGCGGGACAGTCTTCAATAGCTTCAACGTTACGACCCATCATGAGAACGGTACGTTGGATAGACTTGACGGCAAGATCGTTCTTACTACCGGGAACATAGTTGGGACCTTGGATACGAACCTTCATACCAGCACGGACAGTACCAGAGAAGACACGACCGAAGGCATAGAAACGACCCTTATCGGAGGTAGGAACCATCTTGGAGACGTACAACATAAGAGGACCGTTGGGGTCACAGTTACGGATACCGATGGCACATTCGTCATCAGTGGGACCTTCGTACAAGAGAGCGGAACGGTAGGCTTGAGAGGTGATAGGAGAGGGCAAGTGGATACAGATCATTTCCAAAAGAGCATCACCACAAGGCAAGAACTTACGCATGACAACCTTCAAGAGAGCCTTACCGTCCAAATCCTTTTCGTCAGAGCTGAGAGTGATTTCCAACTTTTCCAAAAGGGTGGCAGTTTGTTCCTTCTTGAAGTTCATGATGGAATCAAAGATACGGTAGATGGGGTCCAAAACGAACATGTTGAAGGCACGTTCAAGAGGCTTGCCATCAGCATCGGTGGCCTTGGTGGACCACTTCTTGGTCTTGGGGTTGAAGAAGTTGTTGCCCCAGAGCTTGGTCATCATCTTTTCCTTGTCAACACCAAACTTCTTGGCATAACGGTTGGCGAATTGACGAAGAGTGAAACCCCAGCCGTGAAGACCGGAAGCGAAGGCAACAGTACCCTTTTCGGGGTAGACTTGGCAGTCACCGAGAGCTTCATCAATGTAGGTAGAGATAATGACGTTGACGGATTCGATGGTACGAGAGAAGGACTAAAAAGCAATGAGTAAAAAAATAGGATGATGATAACAATTTGACTTACTTGGTAAAGTTCTTCCTTGTCCAATTGAAGTTCAAGAAGAGCACGATCAACCTTGTTAAGACAGATAACAGGCTTGATACGTTCACCCAAGGCTTGACGCAAGACAGTTTCAGTTTGGACACAGACACCGTCGATACAGTCAACGACGACGAGGGCACCATCAGTGACACGAAGAGCAGCGGTAACTTCAGAAGAGAAATCGACGTGACCGGGAGAATCGATCAAGTTGATCAAGAAAGCTGTACCATCGGTCTTTTGGCCCTTGATTTCCTTGATATCTTCTTCACCCATTTCGAAATACATGGAAATGGCAGTGGACTTGATGGTAATACCACGTTCGATTTCATCTTTACGAGTATCCATATAACGAGCTTCACCAGCACGACCAGAGGAGATAATACCGGCCTTGGAGACCAAGGAATCGGATAAAGTAGATTTACCGTGGTCGACGTGAGCAATGACGGACATGTTACGGACATTGGTAACCTTGTCCATCAAACGACGGATTTCGTCAATTGTGAAATTCTAATTAAAAAATACAATTGTGTGTGAGAATCATAATGATGCTGCATAATGGGAACACTTACAACTATAATAATTCAATCCAAAAGAAGGGAGAAAGGAAGCAAAAAGAAGAAAGAGTTAGTCATCCATCTACAGTTCTATTCATCCATCCAAGGGAGGTTCATTATCAACATACCCATTTTGAACTTCTAAGAGTTGTGTGTGTTTGGTGGTGGATTAAACAAACGGGTGGGAAGAGTAAACCTTTTATTTGAATCATAGGGGGCGCCGGGTAGGCTGAGATTCAAAAGTTAGTCTTACAGGAAACTGCACGTTATGGGGTTACTTTTTTTTTATTCGTAAAAAGCAACGACTGCGCGACAAAAAGTTGCATTTGAGTTAAAAAGAGTTGCGCAGTCTTTTGTCTTCTCTTTTTTACTTTATCAAAGCATAAGGACAGCGATCCAAAAGAAGAAGAAGAGGGGCATTTAGTTTTAACCACGCCACAATTGCTATCTTGTGATTCGTTTGTCTCTTTCCCTTTTTGTTCATGAGCTCTGTCCATGAAGGATATGCTTCTGTTATCATATTATGGATGGGAAACGCGTTGCTGCGCCTTCTAAATGGTTTATCAGGTGCTTGCTGTAAGCCATAATGTCAATTAATTCACGCAGTCGAATAAATTCAGAGTGCATAATAACGCAATGCATTTCGTCATAATTTTATTGTGCAGATTACACGCTAAGAGAAGTTTTTGGGGAGGGGGAACTAAGGGCCTAGATAAGCTTATTAGGACACACTTGATTGGTATTGACACACTCTGAAAAGTTTAGTGTTTATGACAATTTATTACAATGTACGTTAGAGCTTTTGAACGGCAACAGAGTTTAAGTAAAATCTGCTTTCTTTTGTTTCCAAATCATGCCTGTATTTTACTATAAAATCGTCTAGTTCTTCCTCTGTATTAATTCCTAACTTTGGACCTATTATAGGCTGAATGCCTTTTATTCCTTCTAAACAATCCCAGATAAACATCTTTGCTGTAGGTGTACCAGAACCTAAACTAGCTTAACTACTAATTGTTTCCCCCAAACTGACTTGTATACTTACTCATATCACAAGATCTACCCTCAGACTGAACAATCTTTATATTATTGTGCCTTGAAAGCATTTTCTCCAACTCAGTTCCAATGTGTGGGTTCTGTCCTTTAGATTTTGACAAGTCTATACCTAATATGTACAAATAAATTAATCAAACTATTTCAAACAATAGCTGTTAAACTCACAGGCTGACATAGTTTTATAAAACAAATTGGATGGATCTGTAGGCAACTAAGCATGTGTAATCGTCAATACCATACGTAGTATGGTAGTTTATGAACAAGTCTACCTGTAAATTAAATTCTGTCATCTGTATCATTCCTCCAGGCTTAGTAACTCGAATCGCTTCACTTATAGCTGCTGGCCATTCGTCTTCTTCACGGAGAGCAACAACAAAGAATCGCATATGGACAAAGTCAAAAGTGCTGTCCTCATATGGAAGTCTCTGGGTAATATCTCCAATGCTAAAGATGAACTGCTTTACATCAATATTCTTGTAAGTAATGTCATCTATATCACAGCCATGATAGGTACAATTAGGATATTCTTGTACCATATCCTATCACATAAAAGGGTATTGAGTTCCAAAATTCACATTGCTACGAACAAGCTCGACATGATTTTACCATAATCCAAGCAGCAGAGCCACATCCTGCATCGAGAATATTTATTCCCTTTTCAAAATCTAAAGCTTCTGTTATGCTGGGCAGCACATTTCTTTATAAACAAAAAAAAAAGACTGATAAGTAACTTGATCTAAAACAAACGTAAAACGTTACCCTTCATATAGACTCTTGATAGCAAAGTGTTGCTATTCAGAATGGTTACAATGACATTTACAAAATAAAGTGCCTGATCATACCCCGGTAAGTCTTCTTTGCTCTTCATCATCCTTCGGTAACCAATATGTGGTTTGTTTTTTATCATGAAATTCTCGCTTTATATTCAGATTTGTAAGGTTGCTGGTAACTAGAGTTTTGTTTTGATGTCCAGTCATTGCGTTGCTCAATATATCACGATCTTTAGGTTTTCTGCTGTTTGTACTTTTAGTTTTATGTAAAATTGATAGACAACTGCCCATGATGTGTGAAGTAAAGGCAAAAAGAAAAAGAACTTACGGTACAAAGCTTCTTATTTTGGATAATACAAAAGTATCAGTTAAACCAAACAAAAAAGCGTTTAATTCCACAAATATATTTAAACAAGTTCAGGTATCACCCAATGTGTAATACAAAACATTATAAGGACGCACATTTAAGTAAGCTAGGGAAGGGTCAAGAGTAGTGCGTTTAACTAGGGACTTTAGCGTTTAAATCATTGACGCTGACTTCAATCAAGGTGTTCATATTAATACTAACTTGACAGGAACCTAAGGCGCGCATCTTTATGCCAGATAGTGCATAGTGTTAATTGTCCAATAAAACCGTAACTGGATCTGAAGAAGGGAATATAAGGTATATGTTAACCGAAGAACATTTCAAAAGCAACAATTTTATTAATCAAAAAGCTTCTATTTAAGTCTCATTTGCTCTTCATCATCCTTTGGTAACCAATAAGCGGATGCTTCATCATTATGAAACTCTCGCTTTGTATCCAGAGTTGTAAGGTCGCTGGTGGTTATGACTTCATCTACAGCTGTACTATCTTGATATTCAACCACTGTCTTGCTCAACATATCTTGTTTTATATTGATTGTACTATTTATACCTTTAGTTGTATTCTAAATTGCAAAAAATGGGGTTTTTCATCCGTTATTGAGTGAAAACTAAAAGATAAAAATATCATGGTACAAGTCTTTTGTTCTGAATCACACAAAAGCACCGGTTAAAGCAAGCAAAAAGACAAATTGCTACCTTTTCAGTGATACAAGGCGCGCCAAAAAGCAAGGATTCTATACAACCAAAATGAATATTCTAGTATAAGTAAAGTATAAACATATCAATAAGACATGCTTTTTGAAGAAAAAATATCAAGGACATATCGAGAAGACATGGTTTATAAACCAATATCTACTATTACTCTGTTAGATTAAAGCAAGTTTTCAAAAGTTGATGTCGTCTGTAGCATGTAGCACTTGTATACCTAATTAAGTCTCAGTTTATTTTGAAGTAAAACAGCACTATGTTCGCGATAACACGGCTAGAGGAAAAGAAAAAAAAAAAAACGATTGATTAAAATAACATTTATTGAAGTTTTTGGACAGCAACACAGCTAAAGCAGATAAAACTCTCTTTTGTTTGTAAAGTATGCTCGTAATCTATTAGAAACTGTTCTATTTCCTTGGCCTTTACCCCTACAATTGGTCCCATTACATGTTGCATACTCTTGAATGCTTCTATGACGTCCCAAATAAGTCTCTTTGCCATAGGAGTGCCAGAGCCTGAATGAATTTAGTTACTATGATTTGAGCATCAATTCATAACTTACTCATGTCAATCGCTCTATATTCAGATTGAACAATCTTTAAGCATTCATATGTTGAGAGCAGAGGTACTAATTCACCACCAATGTTTGGGTTTTGCCCTCTTGATTCGCATATACTCCTAACTGATTTAAATGTAAAAACTTTACGTTTGTAAAGGTAAAAGATCAAACTTACAGGCTGTCACGGTCTTATAGTATATGCTAGAGGGATCTTTTGGCAGCTATATGAGAGAAGGAGAAATTAATGTTCACGTCAACCACTTATCTGAGCGAATGTTTACTTTAGGGTCGTATTCCATTAACTGTATCATGCCTCCCGGCTTAGTGACTCTCAATACTTCGCTAATGGCTGCTGGCCATTCATCTTCACGAAGGGCGGCAATAAACAGTCGCATATGAACAAAATCGAAAGTATTGTCTTCATATGGAAGCCTTTTAGTTACATTTGCACGAATAAAAGTGAATTGCTTGTAATCCGTCTTTTTGTTTACTGTTTCAGCAATATCGCAGCCATAGTAGGTGCAGTTGGGATAATCATGAATCATGTCCTATTGAAAGAAAATGACGATGAATGATGGTTTGTCGCTCCAATTTGTCACTTACCATGACCCACACGCCAGAGCCACATCCCACGTCAAGAATGGTAATCCCCTTTTCAAAATCCAGAGCTTCACTTACGCTAGGTAGCACGTTTCTTTTTTTTTTTTTTAATAAAACAGTAAGTAATTATAACAGAAAGTAAAAAGGGAGACACTACCCTTCAAAGAGTTCCTTGAATATAAAATGTTGCTATTCAGAATGATTAGTGATTTTTCTCCATGAATAATCTGTCTGTACCCCAGTAAGTCTCATTTGTTCTTCATCATCCTTTGGTAGCCAATAAGTGGATGTTTCATCATTATGAAACTCTCGCTTTGTATTAAAAGCAGTAGTGTTGTCAGCAGCTGTCGTCTCAACAACAGCTGTACTATCTTGATATTCAACCATTGTCTTGCAAAAAGTATCTTGAGTTTGGATATCTCTATTATTGACATATTTAGCTTTCTGTAAGATCGAAGTACAATTCCCCATGGCTTATAAAGTCAAATTGAAAAAAAAAATAGAAAAAGCTTACAGTATAAACTTTCTGTTTTAGGATGGCCTAGAGTGAGCTTAAGAAGGTAAAAGAGTTTACGGATGATGCTATCGTCTGGATTATTCTAATTGCTACCAAAAATGTATTACAAACCTTGAAGTTTGGGAACACAGATCTCGTGTATATATCAAACTGAGAAAGAACAGCACGTAACGGTTAATGATTAGACCATATCTCGTCATTTTAATTTACACTATATATTGATATATGATGAATAAATATAAAAGTGCACATTCAGCTAAATTTATGCAGGGCAGTAACACCATCCTGTGATTAGAATCAAACTGAGAACAGACTGGGCACGACTAAAAATCTTGGACCACACATTTAGAAAAGTGAATTAGAGCAAATAAACTCAGGCCAGAATCGCGCGTTATCTCTTCTCGTCTCGTATAAAAAGGCTCACTTTGATAGCAGAGGCATAATGAAATTGACAAGTACAAGGAGTTTGAAAAACCTGTATACGTTGACAAAAAGTACAACCTGTGTCTAGACTTGTCCGCATCGGTAAATTGCAGCACAGACAATCAGCTGTCCAAAAAGGCAATTGTTGAAAAATACAGTCACAGTCTTCTAAGCCGCACAGTTTTATATCTTTCTTTAATGTTCTCCTGATCTTCTCTGTTTCAAACACTTTAATGGTCACAGCAGTGGAAAACAAAAAGCGTAAGCGTTCTCACGCAGAAAAAAGACAAAACAAAAAGAAGAAGCAGGAATCCGAAAATGAAGAAAGTGCATCTATAGAAGAACAAAGCAAACAGAATGAAAATTCTGAACAAGGTAAGACATAAACAAAAAGGGAAAAAAAAAAAAGTGCAATGTTAACAAATAGCCTTACAGAATCAGCCCAAGAATCCCAAAACTTGGAATTTGAGAGTCTTGAATGTAATGAAAATATCAAAAAAGCCATCAAAGATATGGGCTTTACACAAATGACACAAGTTCAAGCCAGCACCATTCCTCCTCTTTTGGAAGGAAAGGACGTATTGGGCGCAGCAAAGACTGGATCAGGAAAGACACTTGCGTTTTTAATACCTGCTATAGAACTGCTTGTTCGTAAAAAGTTCAAGTCTAGAAATGGAACCGGTGTTATTGTTGTCTCTCCTACTCGTGAATTAGCTATTCAGATCTATGGTGTAGTAGAAGAGCTTTGCAAATATACTGAGCATATCACACATGGTATTGTTATTGGTGGTGCCAACAGAAAGGCTGAAGCAGATAAATTAGTCAAGGGCGTCAACTTGCTTGTCGCTACACCAGGTAGACTCTTAGATCATTTACAGGTACGCAGTAGTCATGTGTATCTATACAAAACGCTAATCCATATACTACAGAATACACAAGGATTCATTTTCAAAAAATTACAAGCACTTGTCATTGATGAAGCTGATCGAATTTTGGAAATCGGTTTTGAAGAAGAAATGAAGCAGATCCTCAGAATATTGCCTACAGACCGCCAAAGCATGCTCTTTTCAGCAACACAGACAACAAAGGTTTCTGATCTCGCAAAGCTTTCTTTAAAGGGAGACCCAGTTTATATTAACGTCGATGAGCAAAATGATACCTCAACAGCAGAAGGATTAGAACAGGGATTTGTTACAGTGGAGGCTGATAAACGATTTTTGCTTCTCTTCACATTTTTACGCAAGAATCAAAAGAAAAAAGCTATTGTGTTCTTTTCTAGCTGTAATGCGGTCAAATTCTATTCTGAATTGCTAAACTATATCGATGTACCAGTTATGGAGTTACATGGTCGCCAGAAACAACAAAAGCGCACGTCTACATTCAATGAGTTCTGTAGTGCGGAGAAAGGAATTTTATTATGTACAGATGTAGCAGCCAGAGGACTGGATATCCCTCATGTCGACTGGATCGTCCAATTTGATCCTCCAGATGATCCTCGTGATTATATTCATCGCGTTGGTCGCACGGCTCGTGCTGGAAAACAAGGACGTAGTTTACTCTTTTTGTTACCATCAGAAACCGGTTTCTTGAAATATTTGAAGGATGCCAAGGTTCCCTTGAACGAATATCAATTCCCTTCAAGCAAAGTTGCCAATGTACAGAGTCAGGTAAGCTTTATATGAACCATTGTGTATTTAGAGTCCTGTTATACAAACATCACTTTTAATAGCTCGAGCAATTAATCGAAAAGAACTACTACCTTAATCAATCTGCACGCGATGCTTTCAGGTCCTACTTGCAATCTTATGCAACTTATTCCTTAAAGTCAATTTTTGACGTTAATAAGCTTGATCTTATGAAGGTAGCTAAATCATTTGGTTTCAAGGTTCCACCCAAGGTCAACTTGGCCATTGCTGCTGCTAAATAATCATTTCAACTACACATCTTTCCGAGCATAAATATAAAGTTTACATTAGAATTAATATGTTTATTCACAAATAAACTCTGTTATTTTTTTAAAACAAGCTTCAGTTGATCCAAAGCTTCTTGCAAGCTCTCTAGGTTATTGGTTAGAAAACCTTTGTTGATAGAATAAGATTCTTTTGTTTTACCTTTAATTAAAGGCTGCTCTTGTACATTTATAGGCAGCTTGAGCAAGATAAGCTTTCTTGTGTCGGTTTGCATAGATTTCATTACATATTGTATATCGTTGTATAACATTGCTTTCACATTACTGTTTGCAGTCTAGATCAATTTAGTTGATAAAAAGTATCAAATGAGCCTTGTATATATGTATATACCTGAAGTATGTCAGTAACCCATAGAGTATATCTTTTAATTAACTGAAGCGTTAGTTTCCAGAAACGATGGGATAAGCCATAAAGATAAACTTGATCAGACCAACATTCCTGAATTGCACTCATAATAACTCTTGTTCCTTCCAGTCTGGTATCTTCACCCTTATTCATGGATTGTGTATTATCATTCAGAACATCTTCCACACGAACTACGATTTCACGTAACTTTAATTGAAAATAGACTGGCAATTGCCATTTTTTCATAAAGTCGATATAAGTGGGATGATGACGAAGATAAACCATGGATCGCCTTGATTGGCATAAACCTTCAAAGCTGGAAATAAATGATATCGTGGCTGTATAGTTCTGCAATTCATAAGTATATGTCATTCATCTACATGTCAATTCCTTTACCTTGTGAAATACCGTCATCTGGCCAGGGGCAAATATCGCTCGACATTTTTTACTAATCTCTTCTGTTATCTCTGCCCATAACGAATTGACTAATACTTCATAGTTGGATCCTTTCAAAGTTTTTTGGGTGATGTCTAGAATAGGTTGAAGATCCTTAGAGGCAAACGAAAGGATCTTTTTATACATATCAGTCAGGGGGTCTTCTTTTGATGTCTTGTTGTTCTGTAAGATCTTAGAATGGATGATTTTTTCAAGGTACCATCTCACAAATTGCTCCTTAATGATCTTTTCAGCTACTTCAGTTTGATCTATCAAGGCATATGTTCTTAAACACTGAACGAGTGATTGCTTTGTTGATCTTGTTAGTTCTCCTGCGCGAACCTGTAATAAAGCAGTATGTAGTGCCTTTGACAGCTTTTGCTCTAGTGTGTCTTTGATACGCGTGATTCTCCAGCTGTTCTCTTTAATGAAAGCAAGATCTTTGCCTCTACCAACTAGATGTTGCATTTGATTATATTCTATAGCTGCTCTTTCTATCTGTTTGCCTAAACTGCCCTCATATTTTAAGCATGAAACTTGTATTGCTTTGTCCCCCTCCTAGTTACCTATCATCTCCAGCAAGCTGGTTTTCTAGTTTATATTTATCCTTTGCAATCTCTGCGTTAATATCTAGTAGATATTCCACTTTGCTAATTGACTCATGTATGTTTAACAGTAATTTTAGAGTAGCCTATCGTTCAGCTTAATGACCAATACAGACAACTCGTTCATTCTCTTACCTTTTTATTTCTCAGTTGTGCTCGGTATTGAAGCTGTTCCTGCAAGGATTCAATTACATTCTGGAAGTGGTCCTGTGCTTCCTTTATGACAATACTATGAGTATATACTATTGAATATATATTAGATAGAACTTACTTTCACTTGATGCTCAATTGTATTCAAAGGCTGTGCTAATTCTTCTATATCTTTGTCTACTCCACTTAAGTTTATTGAAAGATTAATAAAGTCTTGATAATCTCTATTGATCAGTTCAACGAGTTCTGACTTTAGTTGTTTCAAATGAGCATTTAACTCGACTTTCATTCGTTCCAAGCCTAAATGTCTTTTGCTTGACAGAAACGTGTCAGGGTCAAAGTCATCAGCTACTAATTCAGATCGTTCAACCGCATGATTTGGTAAAGGCTTTATAGTAATTTGCTGTTGTTGTTGTTCATTATCATCTTCATCATCACTAAAACTAAATATGCTTTGTTTCTTTCTGTGCCTAGACATCAATAAATAAAAGAAAAAAAGTAGAAAAACTCCGAGACGGATTGGTTGCATGATGAAAGGGGGAGGATCGTTTATTGGAATAAACAAGAAGAGTGTATGTATACTGTGCCTCCTGCGCCAATTGGGCTAATGCTACAAGCGCTTCTTCTAAGCACTACATGTAAGGCAATGGAATACCCTTTGATGTAAAATATGAAGTTATCATAATTACACGTGAGCTAAGTGGTCTTTGTTGCTCTAGCTGACAACATAAAACTAGAATAAATAAATAAATAACAGCATTCCTTTTTGATCTCTTTCTTCTTGAAAAGAACACGAACCAAAATGGTGACTTTATAAAGTCATGTTTAGCTTGACGCCATACATTCAAAAGCTTTGTTGGGCTTCATCATAGGTAATGGGCAGAGGTAGTGTCCGTAGTATTAGTCCAACTTTGGTGTATTTTCTGATGCATGTAGTGTTGGCCTTTTGCTAATGCTATTATCAACGATAACTACGAAGTAAGAAAAATCTTTACCATTTATTAAAGGTTTACTCTAAAAATCTTTATTAGATCTTTGAACAACATATTCTGTTAACATTAGAAGCAAAATCCAACAAATCCAAGCACATAAATAGACTATTCAAGTTATGTAGAGAGATGAAAGACTCGATGAAGGAGATAAATAGTGATGGCCATTCTGGTGTTGCCGTTTCTGATATTCTCATAAAGGGGAATCGTTGCCATGTATATCGTATGGATCATGTATTTGATGGGCTGTACCATGTTGTATTGCTTAAAAGAACCCACTTTCCTAGTGATTGCTACCAAATGCACCAGCAAGTACGGATATTTCCTTTGTTCCAAAGGTTACAAATCATTGTTGAATTATCTGCAAAGGCGAAGCAGCTCGACTGGGGGTGAGCATCACTCAATATCTAAAACTAGTAGCTGTAGTAGGACTACAGCTATCTCATAGTGTAGATTGCATGAATAGAAAATAAAGTTAAATAGTTTATTATATACAATATATTAGTGCTGTACAATTTCCAAATGGGGCCAGTTCATAGATCAGATAATCATCTCACAAAGACCCAATAAAGCAGTGGTGAGTCAGTTTTTTTACTGGGTGAAATACACTGATACTACGAAAAAGCGTGATTTGGTTTGGTCAAAAGCGTAAATTGAGCCAGTGAAATGCGCGAGAAAAGCGAGTTAATTTTAAAAAGTGTCGATTGGCACAGGAGGCGTTGTAAATATGTAATTGCATGTTATTTTGTATGCTACAGTGTTAAATGAGTTTAGCATACATCTTCTAATAAAACAGTAGATGCATCACTAAGTTCATTGTCATCTTCAAGAGTGTCTATTTGTGGTATATTGTTTCCGTCAAAATGCTTCTCAGGCTGGTCCTCCTCCTCTTCTTCTTCTTCTTCTTGAACTGCTTCATTTTTAAAGGAAAGGTTTGGTATGTCATTATTACTATTATCATCTTCGCTTTTTACAGCACATTCACTCTCTTCCAATGGCTTGTGGTTATCATTTTCATGGGTATTCGGTTCATCTTTGATATCCTGTTTATCTTTTACATGTATTAACAAAAGCTATTCGTATAATCTCACCTATTTACCTGTTATATTTTCAGTTTGGTGCTTGTTAAGGTAGTCACGAGCCCAAAGCTTCTTCCTTGGTAGTGCAGCTGTTCCTTTGTATGGTGTGGAAGAGTAAGCTCGAGCGGATAGAGGGCTTAGTACGTTTTTACTAGTATGTTGCTCGTTTTCCTTCTCCTCTCCAAGAATAGATAGACTGGATAATGAGGACAAGGAAGAGAGATCTTCATTGTCACTATTCTGGTTTTCATCCATGGGCGGTAGTTCATTAGATGGATCGTTACCCATGATATCAATATCTCCATCAATATCCAATAGTTCATCCTCTTCTTCCTGTGGGCCCTTTGATGGCTGCAGTGTGGGTGAGTTAGATGTAATATCAACGTATTCGTCATTTATATTCTCTTCAATCACTGGCTTAGGCTTTAATAAAAGTATAGATGGCTTACTGCGACGGCGATTGGCATCTGTTGGCTTCTTTGGTGCACATTGTCGTTTGAGGTGTTCTATCAAACATTTGCGTTTATTTAAGCAAGCGCATGCCCCAAATTCCTTTTCGAATCTCTCCAACATCATTTGTATTGTTGATCTTTTCTTTCTTTCTTCTTCTTCATCAATGACCTTGTTCCTATCCTCTTTTCTCGATTTATGGTGCCAGTCCATATACTCTTTCCATGTTACATGCCCTCGTTGCCATGACCAGCTAATGGTCACCTCTTGTCCCTTTTCAATCAAGCGACGAGAGAATAGGCCCAAATGAACCGATTTACTATCCTCACGAGGCAATACCATGTTACGTAGCTCAGCATTCGGTTGACAAGATCGACGTATATATCTAGCTTTGTTTCCAAACTGTCTAGTGTCAATACACAGATCCAATGATGGGAAGAACATGATATGGCTCAGTGGTGTGCCCAGGATGACAAAATCATTCAAGGGATCATACTTATATTCTGATTTCAACAAGATATCTCCTGTTACTTCCATTAAATATTGGCCAGAAGGTACTGATCTGGTCGCAAATAGTCCCTGACTCGATACTGGTGCATTCATCAAGACACCCTTTGTCAATAGTGTATCCATGTCCATTGTTACAAAGGCACCAAGGTCATATAAGAATGAGCTATTATGATCATACTTCCAATGTTGCTTCCATCTTTCCCTGGCTTCATTAAAAATAGCATACACATAGCGAGAAATAACCCTGCTTTTGACTGGTTTCTTTTTCTTGAAAGAAGGATCATCTTCTGAGTCAAGCTTGGAAAGTTTCTTTTTAGATATAGTGATCCTTTTTGATAACTTGGGCCGCTTAGGTCTTTTCTTTCCTGTACTGTTGCTACTACACTGATCGCAAAGATAATGATCTGGAATGCTGGTAGATGTAATCTGTACACAATAGGCATGCTGCCACACAAGACATTGTTCACATTGTATAGTAAAGCCATCATCTTCTGTAGAAGAGCATATACATCGAATTAAGCCAGAATCGACACTGTTTGATATATCTAGGTCATCTTCTCTTTGTCTAATTAATGGTGATTGGGACATCAAAAAAAAAAAAAGGTGAAAGAAACAATTTTAAACCCAGAAAACCCTGCGTTCTATAAAAAGCATTGAAAAGAAACACAATTCAGGTCACAAGATCAAAAAAATTCATAGCAGACATATAGTCATTCTGTGTATAGGATGATTAATAAAAGGTATGAAGCTTTGATGACAATACTACTCTTGTTTATGTATATGCGCTGTTCTACAATTCTAATTTCAAATAGTTAAAGTCAGCTTGACAGAATAACTCTTTGGCAGACAACTAAAGACTTGATCGTTTTACAGGTACCTTGTGACAATCAAATTTTGAGATGACCTCGCGATTATTTAATTCAGCTCGATTAAATGGCTCTAGTTTGTGATCATGATCAATCATAATTTACTCAATTACCTTAACATCCCTATAAAGAAAGAAAGAATCAATACATATGCTTGATCATCATGAACTAAATCTGTTTCTATACTTGACAAAGATGCGGATATCCATAGGATTTGTAGAAAGGCCAGCGTAGTTGAGTACAACCAATCAAATGGACAGAGTGGTTGTTAGTGTGAATTTATACTGTGACGCCACATGTATAGGAGAATAAGCACCCGTAGCATTAGCCTTCTCGTGGATTTCTTCGTGCGTAGTGTACACCTACAAGTTAAATATCAAAAAGGGGTTACTAAATTTTTGTGGATATTGCTGTACCGCAGTCCCAAAAGGGACATACTGTTTTTTGAATATGAATTCTTTGGAGAATTTTATGAGACGGTCGGATAGAGTCAACAAGGAAGGATATATGCTGTGATCTTCTTTTTATTTAGAATAGTGAAATTTAAAACCAATAAAACCAATAAAGAAATACAATGTCCTATAATTATTATTTGATCTTCTTTTTTGCTCGGTCAAAACCGCATCTAGATCATCCTTTATGTCAGAATTTACTGAAGAATCTTTTAATGCGCTTCGTCAGCAATTGGCACAAGAATGCCAAGCATCTCCAAGTGCGACTGATAGTTCATTGCATTCTTCCTTGCCTGCTTTTGGGGTTTGTTCCCACTACGACTGGGCTCCAGATCTTTTGGTAAAAGATCGCTTTGGTCTTGACCGAGATCTCTTTACTACCCCAATGCTCTCCGATGCGGATCGTACAAGTATCATTGACAATGACCCATCTATCCGTGGCCTTTCTTATGTACCACCAAGTATACTTTCTGAAGCCCGTAGTCGTATGAATCGTGGCCAAATACGGGAGGATAATAATCTAAAATCTCCCCAGTACTTATTATCTGGTGGAAACTCTCCAAGCGGAGAGTTTCAGGTCTGGTGTAGGATCCACTCCTGATTTATCTGATGTGTCGTCTTCTATCTTACTGGATCGACGTCTTGCAAACTCAACCACCAACTGCACTTACCGACGTGGGCAATTCCTCTTTTTAGAATGGTCCTTACAGCACCGCGTAAATATCAATGGATTTTCAGCTGCAGACATTGTCAACTTTCTTTCGGATATGCACTATCAATTTGGTTATTCCTCCTCAACATTGCGCTCGTTCCGCTCTTCCATCATAGCTTTTCACCAAAATAAAGCCTCACTGGACAACGAGCTACACTTGGTAAATAACCTTCTTGATACGCTTGCTCTCAAGGAGCCTCCGAAACAGATTCATCGCCCAACAGTTGACATTTCCTCAACTCTGAGCCATATACGACGGATTCAATCCACCACGTCTATACCACTGCCCCTCTTGCAGAAGAAAAAAGCCTTTCTCCTAGCGATGACAGCCTTTTTGCGACCTTTAGACTTCCATCGTATCGATTTGCAGTCGGCAGACATCAACAATGGTTTCCAACTGACATTTCAAGTGGTCTCCCCAAAAGAAACTCGTGACAATCGTCGTATCATCGAACCTTTTACAACTTTTCCAAACCAAGGCTGTTCTCTTTGTCCTGTTAGAGCACTCATAGCTCTTAGAGATCATTCCTCATTATCACACCTTTCCACTCGTTCTTCGCTTTTCGTGAATTCAAGGTGTCCACAAGAGCCTTTAGTCACGTCAACAATTTCTACATGGCTCCGCAACATGATTAAAACTTCCACGGAAGAACGAAATGTAAGCGTCAGATCTATTGTATCCTCGTTAGCCCTACGCCGTGATGTTCCAAAAGAAGACACTGTTACTCTTGGAAACTGGACAAATTCTTCGACTTTTGAAAACCATTATCGACGAGAACATATGTCATGCTTCAATTTCACGCAGATATTATTATCAACAAATGCATCAATATCAACGGAAGACGAACGAGTAGATTTCGATATGTATGACCAAGAAGATACATTCTTTGACGCGATGCAAGAATGATCTAGATGTTCACTCTGAAGCAGCATATATCCTTCCTTGTTGGCTCTATCCGGCCGTCTCATAAAATTCTCCAGAGAACTCATTCGACGGAGAATTACTGTCACGATTAAACATGAACTCATGCATAATGTTGACATCCCTGAGAATCCCTTAATTAAGAGCTCGATAATTCAAGCTGATTCTTTTAATATATTACATTCCTAATTTTCGTATAAATACCCACTCATCTTTATCTAATAAAACTTCAGTCAATTATTACAGTATAACTTCTGTCCTTAGGCCTTTCCAATCTATTCCTATCCTCTCTTATCTGTTTCTTGTCTCATTCTTATCTCTTTGTACCATCCAGTACCTTAGTTCCTGTCCGGTTCTATTCCTCTCCTCCTTCCTCCGCTGAACAATACAACTTATTACAATTACTTTTTTTCTTCTTTTTATTTAATTCAAATATTATAATAAACATGCAAGACTATAGTGAATTTATTACTAATAGAGGGATTATTTCAGATAATGATATGGGTACTTCATCTGATGATTATATGGAAGTAAACGAGGAAGAGGAAATTGAAATTGACCATTCTAATTTGAGCAACGAATGGATTGAGAAAATAAAACAAATTGGTAATTCATTATCTTGTGTACGTGAATTTATGGATGTTGATCTGCCAGAAGAAATCAAAGATGAAGATTCATTTGGAGATGCATTTCTTTTTGCAGAGTCAATGCCATTAAAGAAAAAGCACAAGATTCATCTAGCTAAAAATCGAGGTTCTTACAGGAAATATACTGTTGAGCAAATTGAAAAGCTCTTTGATTTAATCATTGAAGAAGGCTTCGCTACCAAAGATGCAGCTTTAGTCACTGGGATTAATATTCGTACTGCCCAGGATTATGTAAAAACGTATAATAATGATTCGCAGAAACGACTTCCAGGGACTTATAATAAACCTTGTGGAAGATCTTGTTCAAAGCTAACTAAGGAGCATTCTAAATTTTTTGTTGACTATGTCAAAAAGAATACTACTGCTGTATTAGATGAGTTAAAGTTAAAACTCTGCGAGAAATTTGAGGGTTTGAAAAACTCTATTTCTGTCATTTACAAACACTTGGTACATAAACATAATATTACTTTAAAGAAACTTAAAAAGATACCAGCAGCGAGAAATTTCGACAGAGTAATAGCATTGCGAAAAGTGATTATTGAACAATATAAGAGTGATACAGGCATGGATTTTTCCAAGAATTGTGTTTTCATTGATGAAGCAGGTTTCAATTTACATACGCAGAGAAACCACGGTCGTTCATTAAAAGGCACACCTACAAAGAGCACTGTACCAACTGGAAAGGTATCATAAATATTGGAGTTAAAAAACCAGGATCAGTTTCTTCTAAAAAAAAGAAAGGCGGATGGTAAGGAAGTAAAAATAAATGGTAAAGTTGGAACAAGAACTGAGCACTTCTTGGTCTACCCAACCAACGTAATGAATACATTAGATAAACATAATATGAAGGGCCAGTATATTGTTATGGATAATGCACCTATCCATAAGCCAAAAGTGATCAAAGCATTAGTCGAAGGACGAAGACATAAATGCATATATTTACCACCATATTCTCCTTTCTTGAATTCAATTGAGGAATTCTGGTCAAAAGTAAAAACTGGTGTTAGAAGAACACTATTGACAGCAGATGATCGTCTCACAGATCGTATATGTGAATCGGCTGGAAAAGTAACAAAAAAAGATTGTAAGGGGTGGATTGAGCACTCAAAGTCTTTTTTCGAGAACTGCTTGAACGAAGAAAAAAATCTTTAAAATGGTAAGTTATTAGTCGCTATGGGTTCAGTTTTCAATAGACGTGCTTATAAACGCATTATTTTGATGTGATTTGTGTAGTAAAAAAATATAAAAAAAAAATAAAAAAAGCTTATAAAAGAAATCTTTCAATGATTTAAGTACAATTCATAGTAAGCATATTGAATAGTTTATATTCAAGAAACAGTAGGAACAAAAATCACACTTCTATAAATTAAATACTGATGTGGTCTAGGGACAAAAAAGCGTACAGCTGTGGAGTTTCAAAAAAAAAACTATAACATTTTTTCTTTTATCAAAAAGGATACCTTTGGGGTTTTTCACATTCTAATCATCAACATTGGTAGTATGGTCTGCTTTCGTGCCGCATCATCCAATGGGGTCCTCTGCTTTGTATGGTCTGCTTTCGTGCCGCATCGTGTAGAGAGTACTAACAGTAAGGCCTGCTTTCGTGCCGCTTCAGTTTAGTCGACCTGATGACTAGTAAAGGTCTGCTTTCGTGCCAGCTTTGCTAGAGAATGTGTTGGCCTCCCCCCCTTTTTTTTTAGATAAGTATAATTATGAAAAGCTTTTTGTTCATAAAAAACTAACTTCTGTTTAATAGGATTTTTCTGTCTGCATGGCATTTAATTGGCATGTTTACGTCAGGTCCCATAGCTAGGTGATAAACACTGAAAATACAAATTTTGTAACCCACTTATTTTGTTCTTAATGAATTAATAAAGCCCTTATTTTATTATAACTACCATATTTCAAAATAAATACAGATACACTTGACTAACTAAATAGCTCCCTCTGGAAGACGAAAAGAAAACGTAGCGCTACTTTTTAGACTTTAATGGCGTCTTGACTAATTAGCACCGGGTTTTTACATGGCTTTCTAGTATAAGCGGCCAAATCCACTACTTCTTCATTTTTACTATTGTACAAATTTGATATAGTGCGCTCTATGATTTTTTTCATCTGATTCAATTTTTCAATGATTGTTGGTAGTAATAGGATATCGTCAGAAATATCTCTGGCAAAATGAAACCTGCTGATCTCAATCATTCGGTATTGGCCGTTATATTTAATATCCATTTTGTAGGCCACCGCTTTATGATCTTCCGCCAATAAGCCAACAACTTCTGGTTTCTTAACTTTTTTTACCACTAACTTGTTTAATGCAATATGCATTTCTTTGCTGAGCTTTATCATATCGTTTTCCAAGGTGTTATTGCTATGGTTGCCTTTTCTTTTTACTTCCATGAAAAATACTTCGTAGCTGATGGCTGATGATAATTTGATAAATAAAACAAAGTCGGGCATCATGATTTGCCCATCTGACGTGACTAGATGGTATGTCAACCTAAAGATGATGTTAGAAATTGTAATCAACGTAATAAAGCTGATTTTCGAGTAGTTATCAGTCATGTTTAATAAAATCAATTTTTGATATTAAGCTGTGCAATAAATATGGTTTGATTTTGTCGATAATTAGAGCAGCTTCTCCTTGTTTATGGTTGTTGGAGGTGGTATTGTTTAGAAATCTGAACAAACAGTCAGAAGCTATATTTGATGCAAGCTTGATGTCTTTATTGTTACTGTTAGTTTTGATTCTGGCGATAGCATCTTCAGCTTCATCTTTAGTTATTTTTTTGGTTTGCTGTAATGAGTTGAATCTCACGACATGCATTTATGACTTCACCATCAACAAGCGTGTACTCTTCTTCTTCATTAATACTTTTCATTACCAATAACTGTTCCCTGGGTGCCATCTTCGAAATAGCACACATATCTATAGAGGAAAGCAAGAAAATATACGAGAGAGACAAAATGCGGCTGTTTGATAAATATTTACGCATCTGTGCTCCCTCCACCGACACTTGTCTAAACTTACGAAGAACATGGGTCACATTAATCCCATCTACTTTCCAGTGTGAATCTTTATCAATAATGGTCCCAAAGTCGGTATCACCGTAAAAATTGCCCAAGTAAACATTAATATATTTTCTTTTCTTTTTTTCTCTTGCAAGGCTCTCCCAAGTTCCAATTCCAGAGCTACTAGCATCCTCCACATCTTCAGTGCTACGTTTCATGGATGTATGTGATTGTATAGCTATAGCCAAGCTTGTTGCCAGGTTAGCGTTGTTATGAATAACAAGTTTAGCTGGTTGTGCGATTATGACGCCAGCACCATTATTGACGTTATTGAAAGTGTTTGAGCGTGCTTTATCTTTTTTGGGAGTTAGAGTTTTTTTTAATTATCTACGGCATAAAATCTATGAGTTTGGCAAACTTAATAAAAAAAAAAGGAAATACCATATACCTTCCAGTCCTTCAATAGTTTTCTGGCTGTGTTAACTACGGTTTCGTCTTCTGTTATCTTGGCATCAGTGATGCTGTCTCTTAATTTTTGAAGGTTCTCTCGTGCTTGACTAGAAGGGTTATTCCTTTCGATTTCATCAAATGCATCTTTCACTGACCATTGGTCAACAGGCGTTTTTAGAAAATAATTTTCAGAATTCATTGAAGTTAGTATAAACGGGAGGAAAGAGGTCTGTTTTGCGTTTCATTTCAAAATATTGTGTAGGTACACTTACACAAAAATGTAAAGAGTAGCTACGGATGATGCAACTCTAAATTACATTGCTTGCGAAGAAACCCATTTGCACAATATATAGTAATACCTCTTTCAAGCACAGTATTTATTGGCTTATACAAAATATAATCAAGCATAGATATCTTAAACTAACGTTATAAATAAGGAGACATTGTTTGTAGTATATCTTTATAAAACTATTATCAGAAACAACACATTTACGGAAATTTATTCAAAACAAAATGGTAGCTTTTTTAATTATCAGAAGCAAAATAAAATTGATTAAGGGATTTGTCCATATATCGTAGTATTTGTAGCATGAGTTTGTAAGATTTGTAGAAGTTTATTTTAAAGCATACTTTTAGGCTTTTCAATTCGAGAAGGAGTAAGAGTAAACATGCCAATTAAATGCCATGCAGACAGAAAAATCCTATTAAACAGAAGTTAGTTTTTTATGAACAAAAAGCTTTTCATAATTATACTTATCTAAAAAAAAAGGGGGGGAGGCCAACACATTCTCTAGCAAAGCTGGCACGAAAGCAGACCTTTACTAGTCATCAGGTCGACTAAACTGAAGCGGCACGAAAGCAGGCCTTACTGTTAGTACTCTCTACACGATGCGGCACGAAAGCAGACCATACAAAGCAGAGGACCCCATTGGATGATGCGGCACGAAAGCAGACCATACTACCAATGTTGATGATTAGAATGTGAAAAACCCCAAAGGTATCCTTTTTGATAAAAGAAAAAATGTTATAGTTTTTTTTTTGAAACTCCACAGCTGTACGCTTTTTTGTCCCTAGACCACATCAGTATTTAATTTCTACTATTTTTTTTTTTTTTTTTTTTTTTTTTTTTTTATAAACTATTCAATATGCTTACTATGAATTGTACTTAAATCATTGAAAGATTTCTTTTATAAGCTTTTTTTATTTTTTTTTTATATTTTTTTACTACACAAATCACATCAAAATAATGCGTTTATAAGCACGTCTATTGAAAACTGAACCCATAGCGACTAATAACTTACCATTTTAAAGATTTTTTTCTTCGTTCAAGCAGTTCTCGAAAAAAGACTTTGAGTGCTCAATCCACCCCTTACAATCTTTTTTTGTTACTTTTCCAGCCGATTCACATATACGATCTGTGAGACGATCATCTGCTGTCAATAGTGTTCTTCTAACACCAGTTTTTACTTTTGACCAGAATTCCTCAATTGAATTCAAGAAAGGAGAATATGGTGGTAAATATATGCATTTATGTCTTCGTCCTTCGACTAATGCTTTGATCACTTTTGGCTTATGGATAGGTGCATTATCCATAACAATATACTGGCCCTTCATATTATGTTTATCTAATGTATTCATTACGTTGGTTGGGTAGACCAAGAAGTGCTCAGTTCTTGTTCCAACTTTACCATTTATTTTTACTTCCTTACCATCCGCCTTTCTTTTTTTTAGAAGAAACTGATCCTGGTTTTTTAACTCCAATATTTATGATACCTTTCCAGTTGGTACAGTGCTCTTTGTAGGTGTGCCTTTTAATGAACGACCGTGGTTTCTCTGCGTATGTAAATTGAAACCTGCTTCATCAATGAAAACACAATTCTTGGAAAAATCCATGCCTGTATCACTCTTATATTGTTCAATAATCACTTTTCGCAATGCTATTACTCTGTCGAAATTTCTCGCTGCTGGTATCTTTTTAAGTTTCTTTAAAGTAATATTATGTTTATGTACCAAGTGTTTGTAAATGACAGAAATAGAGTTTTTCAAACCCTCAAATTTCTCGCAGAGTTTTAACTTTAACTCATCTAATACAGCAGTAGTATTCTTTTTGACATAGTCAACAAAAAATTTAGAATGCTCCTTAGTTAGCTTTGAACAAGATCTTCCACAAGGTTTATTATAAGTCCCTGGAAGTCGTTTCTGCGAATCATTATTATACGTTTTTACATAATCCTGGGCAGTACGAATATTAATCCCAGTGACTAAAGCTGCATCTTTGGTAGCGAAGCCTTCTTCAATGATTAAATCAAAGAGCTTTTCAATTTGCTCAACAGTATATTTCCTGTAAGAACCTCGATTTTTAGCTAGATGAATCTTGTGCTTTTTCTTTAATGGCATTGACTCTGCAAAAAGAAATGCATCTCCAAATGAATCTTCATCTTTGATTTCTTCTGGCAGATCAACATCCATAAATTCACGTACACAAGATAATGAATTGAATCGCTTGCAATCTTTTTGATTATTTTTCTAGTCTCTTGACATAAAATTTATATTCAAAAAAAACAGTAAACTAAGTTCCTAATTTGTACCATTTTTGATTTCTAGTAGCATCACTCTGTTGTGATAAAAGGGGGTAAAAACCCTATTATTCATTCCTTTTTCACTGCTGCACAATTTTGTATTTTATTTCAATTCCTTTAACGTATAGAGAACGTAAGTATCAAGACGTTTTAATCTAGATAATATCTTTTAAACATTTCAATAAAGTACTAGTTTAAAGCCTAATTGGTACATTTTATTGGCCAATATTCCAGTATTTATCGTTACTCGTGACTTCAATATATTGGAGTGTAGACTACCATATAATATTCTGTGTTCTGACTTTCTGTTCTTTTGCAGTAAACTATGGGTTTATTAACCATTTTAAAAAAGAATCGACAACATGAGAAAGAGATGCGTATACTGATGCTGTAAATGACTTACTTAATTGTAGTCTATGGTTATTGATTATAAAAGAGGGTTAGATAATGCAGGAAAGACGACTATATTAAAAAGGATAAATGGAGAGCCTATTGATACCATATCACCCACGCTTGGGTTCAATATAAAGACACTTGAATACGAAAAGTAAGTTATATATATATATTGTTAAACTAGAATGATTAACAAACAAACAAAAGCTATAAACTCAATATTTGGGACGTTGGTGGACAAAAGTCTATTAGATCCTACTGGAGAAACTACTTTGAACAAACAGACGCCCTTGTGTGGGTAGTAGATTCGGCGGATAGATTAAGATTAAATGACTGTAAAAAGGAGCTATTTCAGCTATTGCAGGAAGAAAGATTAGCAGGAGCCACATTACTTGTATTTGCAAACAAACAGGATATTGCGGGAGCACTCAGCGAAAAAGAGATCAAAGATGTGAGGCAACATGCTTTTTTTTTTTTTTTTTTCTTACTGACATCTACTCAGGTACTTGGACTAGAGGATATCAAGACCCATCACTGGGCTATACTTGCTTGTAGTGCAGTAACAGGAGAGAATTTATTGAAAGGGATGGATTGGGTAGTATATGATGTGGCATCAAGGATATATATGTTAGATTAAATAAAAGATACATTTAATACTTCAGCTACATTTTCGACTTTGGCAAGATCTTCAAGAAAAGGAATTAGATCTGTCAGCTCGGAATCATGTTGATCATTAAACCAAGTTGAAACTGGTATAGCATTAGAGGGATGAAGACTATAACTTGTTGGCGTATTATCTAGGATAATAACATGCTTAAGATCACGCCCCAGTTTAGATAAATCCTACATACAGTGTTTATTACTTGTCAATTATTATATATGACTTACCTTAACAAAGCCTTCTTTATAGTCACAACATGCTTCACGGAATAAACGATGCTGAATGACATTATGTAAATCAAATCTATCTAGTACAGGATCTGCATACTGAAAATACAAGATAAATATACAACCTTGAGATTAACCTATAATAATTTATATATACCTTGGACAGGCTAGCAGTAAAAACGACAATCTCATACAGTTCGCCCATACGTTTCATGAATTCATCTACGCCTGGTCTCTTGAGGACAAATACATTGTGTTTATGACCTTCAATTTCGATTGGTACAATAAAATCTGCTTGCGATACAGTCTATTTAATATTTAATAAGGAAGGAGAAAGAAATAAAAGGCATATTATGGTTTACTTTGAATGAACTGTGTACAAGCGTTTCGTCAAGGTCCAACACAAGACACTTTTTCCCATGATATTCTTTTCTAACAGGTTGCAATAGATACTATTTGCATAAACTATCAATTTCATTCGAGTGGCAAAATGCATGAATATATTTACTTACAATGTTATCTTCGCTCTTTGGTAGCTTTTCTAATATAACCTCTTCTTCTTCTTCATTTGTCACTTGATCATCTTCTTTTGATTGTTGTTGTTGTTGTTGTTGTTGAATATAATCTTTTTTATTTCTAGAATCAATATTTCTTTTAAGAGCACAGCATAAAAATAAACCAAGAGACTTCTTTTTCCTATTTGCCCACAATTTCAGCCTTTTGCCTAATTTGAACATGTCAGCTTAAGAAATAGTCAACGGAATATGATTACATTGAACGTATAAATTCTTCTTTTCTGTACCATAAACAATCGATGTATCTTCCATTAGGAGACAAGCTTAAAGGGGATTTTTTTTAATAAAAAGAGAAAGAGGAAGAAGGAAAAAGGAGAGGAGGAATTAAATATAATGGAAACTTGGACTTTGTATTTTATAAACAAATTACACACACATAAAAATTCTGAAACAAGTTGTTTTTTTTTCGTTTTTTTCTTTCCTTCATATTCTTGTTTTCTATATAAAATGGCAAACTATAGCGAAGAAGAACCATTATTACGACGACATGAACCTCTTACTGCATGGACTTCCTTTAAAGTGACCATGACATCTTCCTATGTCAACCTTTTTCTTATATTTGTCCCTATCGCTATCGTCTTTTCTACCCTTATCCACGCGTCAGACACTACTGTCTTTACTCTGAACTTTATCGCTATTATTCCTTTGGCAAAACTACTGGGATTTGGCAAGTTAAAAAGATAAAGAATACCCTTTCTGATATGCTAATTTATCACAATAGCAACGGAAGAAATTGCCCTAAGATCTGGATCTACTGTTGGCGCCTTATTAAATGCCACATTTGGTAACGCTGTTGAATTGATTTTGGGCATCATCGCTCTAAAGGAAGGATTGATTCGAGTTGTGCAAGGTAAGGAAACTAAGTATCGGCATAAACTAATATATTCGACTACAGCTTCTATCTTGGGTTCAATCTTATCCAATATATTGTTGGTAATATATATATTTTCATGACAAAGAGTGTCATTTGATTGACATATCTCCTTTTTTTAGGTTCTTGGTTTTTGTTTCTTTCTGGGTGGCCTTAATCGTTCCGAGCAAACCTTTAATCAAACAGCGGCCCAAACGTCTTGTTCTCTTCTTTCTTTAACAACGTTATCTTTACTTGTACCCGCAGCATTTTCAGCTACGATCCCAAAGGATAGTCCTACACATGGAATCCTTGATTTAAGTCATGGAACTTCTATCGTACTATTGATTGTTTATGTCTTGTACTTGTTATTCCAGGTAATTCTAGCGGAATAAGCTCTATATGTTACTGATATGCATTTTGTATCTATAGCTCAAGACACATACTCACTTGGTCAGTGTAATTAGGTCTACTATGCTTACAAACGACTCATCCCTATTTTTTATATTTTCTCTGATTAGTATGAGGACGAGGCAGATGAGGAAGAGGTTCCCACGACAACTCTTGTTTTCTCTGTTGCTTTGTAACCATGCTCTCTCTTTTTTTTTTTATTTGATCCTAATACTGATTATATAGACTATTAGTGATAGCTGCTATCATTTCAATTCATGCAGAATATCTTGTAGGAGCGTAAGTGATTTGCATCATTTTGTGTTTATTTAATCTAACCCATAATGCAGTATTGAAGGCGTAGTAGAGAAATGGGGAATCAATGAGACCTTTGTTGGTATCATTTTATTGCCTATTGTAGGAAAGTAAGTGATAGCCATTGAAAGAAAGAGTAAAAATGATAATTGAATATTTTTGTGATAGTGCTGCTGAGCACGTTAGTTCAGTTACATTTGCTATCAAGGACAAAATGAACCTTTGCATTGGCATTGCTATTTCATCCTCACTTCAAATTGGTCTATTGGTTACACCCGTACTTGTGTTGACTGGTTGGGTCATTGATCAACCCATGAGTTTATTCTTTGAAAACTTTGAAACCGTTGTCCTTTTCACCAGTGTGTTGATCGTAAACTATTTGATACAGGATGGTAGATCAAACTGGTTAGAGGGTGCTCTGTTATTAGTAAGTGCCCTGCAGATTCATGCGCATAAATATACTAAATCCGTTTTGCTAGTCCTCTTATGCCATTATTGGTTTAGCATTTTATTTCCACCCCTAAATGTAAACCCACAAGTTGAAAGTAGCTTTATTTCTATGAATAAACATTTTATTCTTTAAAATGGATATTGTGCATCACACATTTGAAGGTTTTGTCCGCTTTACATAAAAAAAAAAAGTTAGTATGAATTTGTAAAGAGAAAAAAATAAGCTCATGCCCTTACCACCACAATGGTTGCAAAGCCTCTGCTCCAACGCCCCGACGTAACAATCTATACCTCCAGTCAAACATTCTAGGCATAGCATCTCCTATGTCCCTTTTTCTACCCTTGTCGTCATATCTTCCTGACCACAGTACCTCTGCTGCTGCTGCTGCTCTGGGCCTAGAGAAAGAAAAAAAATGAGTTTGAGTATTAGAGTGCACACAAGTATTTACCATAAGCGAATATCTAAAGACGTCCCGTCTGTTTGCTCTGTCCACATTGCAACCTCGCCTCCCAGCACATTTTGTGCTTCCGTTTCCGTCAAGTTGAATGTAAGATCGTAACTATAGACTCTTTGCCACGTTTTAAAGGGGCTAATGATGATGTAAAAATAAACGACTGTGTCAAAAGACGTGCTACCGCTATCATTTTTCTTTACCTGCACCAGTCTCCACCAGAACCTCCCCAGTTCTGTGGACGGTAGTTGTCCTCAACGTGGTGTTTCTCCAGTTGCACTCTCAATGACTTGGGTATCTCTGGTGGCACTTGCTCGTCATAACTTGTATCATTGCCACTAGCCTCTTGGTGTCAGTAAAGAAAAAAAAATCAAATTAATATATACTCACCCCCAGCCACCGTGTCCACAATCAAGATACCAAAAGTTATAGTTGGATGCAATGACCTTGTATCCTTTCTTTATAGCATTTTGAACAGGGTTAGTCCAGACTTGAAGCACGACATCTTTAGGAATTGGCAAGTCATTTTTGGTTACGGCATCTAGATGTATATATAACTTAATAAAAAAATAAAATAAAAAAAGGGAGTTACATTACCTTCCCAAAGGATAGGCACTTTGTTCATGCCTTGAATCATACCCAACTCCTTGCTCAGGAACATGTTCAAGAGATCGAGACCAGTGGCGTTTTTTTCTTGCATATACCTTACTACATCCTTATCCTGCTCCCAGCATTTATAGATCGGTTCATCGCCACCTCCGTGATACCAACCGTCTGAGAAAAGAGAAGCTACCTCTTCAATGACATTGCCGACTACATCATACGTCTTTTGAAGAACAGGATTGAGTTGGCCCGTACCTGGCTCTTCTGCAAATCTTTCACTCCAATCATTGGATGGATCAAGATAATGTATTCCGGCGCATGTGCTATTATTATTATTTTTAGGGAGATGAATAAATTAAATCGATCAGGGAGACAAGAATCTACTTACACAATATCCTTGTGTGACAAGCCCCATGATCCAGTATGGGCAGGCTAAAGTATGTGTAAGTTGGTATATACGCGATATCACAAATTCAAGTGTAATTTACCATGTCTATTTCAGGAATAACACGAATTCCACGCTTATAAGCATAGTCGATTATCTTGCGTACGTCACTCTTTCTATAAATCAATCTCTTTTGACGTAATTTATACGCTCCTTCAAGTGAAAGTTCAGGAACAGACTTTAATTTGAGCGGAAAGCTTTGTGAATCAGTAATATGCCAATGAAATACCTAGCCAAGGTTACAGTTATATATATATATATACGAAGCAATAAGTATAGCTGACTTACGTTCATCTTGTTGTACGCCATAGCATCAAGTGTTCTCAAAATGTCTTTTACCGGGAAATAGTTTCTTGATGTATCCAGCATAATTCCTCGATGAAAGAACTTTGGACGGTCTTTGATTTCAATAGGAGTGCTTGGTATAAAGAGATTACTAAAGCTATCATCATCCTCGTCGTCATCTTCTTCATCTTCATAAACGTAATCATCATCTTCATCTTGGTCATCATCAGTGTTATATGTGTAACGTATGTTCTTGATTTTCAATTGACCACTTTTGTCTCGTCTTGGGTGAGCTTGAACCAACTGCGAAAATGTTTCCAGACCGCGAATAGCGCCCCACACTGTCTTTGATTTGAGTGTGGCTCTTGATCCATCGCTAGGAATAATCAAGGTATAAGATTCATCCACACCAAATATAAGCTCCTGCTGCATGTCTTCCACTTGAACATGTAAATTCTTCAACTTAATATCCGACTCCTCGTTATCATGATGCGCCTGCACTTGAACTGGTATCCATCTGTCACGGGTTATCAAGCGAGTGTATCGATTGACAGAATCCTCCAGTAGCTCTGAGCTTGGTCCAGATATGTAAAAGTCATCCTATATAATGCGTCAATTGAAAGTCGTCTTTATTAAATTTGTTATTACATCAAGATTCAATTCTGTTGAGCCTGTTTTAACATGTTGTGGTTTTGGCCATAAAAGCAACGCAAAAGTCGAATGTAAAAAAAGAGAGGTAAAGAGTACTATTTTCATTGATAAAACAAGAAGAAAAGAAAGAAAAGAAAAAGAAAAAAAAGATTTTATATCCGGTGTCTCCTAAACTTCAGGGAAGACACAAAAGACCTTGGGATAATGAGCAGATGATATTGGTTCATTATTACAAAATACCCAAAATTTTCTTTATAATTATTACAATAGAGCATTTGTTTATTCATAACATAGGAGATTTGTCGTGTGATATGCTAGTAAAAATGCATAAACGTAACAGAGCCTAGATAAATTCAACCCCCCCTTTTTTTTCAAAATAACTAAACCGAAAAGGGGACCTTGAAGCATCTTGGACTCCAATGAGAGTCAAAGGATAGCAAGAGTGTCATTGCTGAGCCTTTAAACAAAAGAAAAGAAGTATATGTGACAAGTGTTAAATCAATGTATCGCTAAAATGTATCACTGTGACCCTTATTTAGTGTACTGGTTGTTTACAGATGCATAATTGGAATGAATACACAGCCCGTGTCACTCACACGATCGAAGTAAAGATGTTGATGGTCCATTATTAGATCACCATTGATGAAAAAAAAAGAAGATATGCACACAAAGAGAACGTAGAGTTCATCATGAAACCAAGATCTTAATGCACCAAAGCCTCTTCTTCGGTATTTAAATTACTTCTAAACAGAAAATAAAGTACACACTATTGGAGTAACAACAACTTAATCGATCTGGGGGGAGAAGGGAGGGGGGGTAAGGTATCACTATATGAAAGTTGTAGATTTTCATTTTCTCTCTCTTTCTTCATTTTCTACTTTTCTTTTCTCTCTCTGTCTCTTTCTCTTTCTCTCTCTTTTTCTTTCATTCTTTCTTATATATAATTTAAGCATATATGACAAACCATCCACGTAAAATACAAAAGGTTTATTATTCACCTACCATTTTGGAGAAACCTAAAACATCACAACATATGGATATTGATGCAGAAGATGAAGAAGCAGGAACTATTTTAGTAGCTCTTGCAAAACAAGCCAATAGGATGAACAGTAATATCAAATTGCCATCAATTATGCTTACTGAAAAGGTAATAAAAACATAAATAGTTAATATTATATATGTTAATGTATCCTGTAGCCAACAAGAAGTCATTCAATGTCTATTAAAAATCTAATAGGTAACAAGGAAACAAATAAACATGCATGTACAAATATTAACTTGTTTCCTCTGATAGATACAGAGTCAACTGTATGAAAAAAGAATTTTTTTTTTGGTTACAGTGCCACCATCAGCTTACATTTTGTTTGTTTTAGGATGTTACACCTTGCAGCTCTTATTCTACTGGACATGACTTTTATCAGTCTTCCCAAAGACAAACTCTAGGTATATATATATGCACCAAAAGCTAACATTTATGCGTCAGTGCCTTATCAATCAAATGCATTTAAACAACCGGACATAATAAAGGAAGCTTATAAGCTATCATCATCATCGTCATCATCAGCTCGAGAATTAAAAATTAGACGAAGTTCAATTCATGTCCACATTAGTTACAAAATACATGCACACAAAATACGTGCACAGCATACAGTAAGTGCGTGTAGTACACATGCATAAACGTATATTTATCTATTGAAAATATATAGCATTCGACTTACTATCCAAACATACATCATCACACAGCTTCCTATCACCCAGCTATTCCATACCACTATAAAGACAATACTGTTTAACGTGTACATATCCATTATCTTTTTATTATTATTATTATTATTATTTTACTGTTATAATTGTTATTTAATCCTATTCATTCCTTAATCTATCGGATTTCCCATAAAATAAAAAAGCATTCATTATTTATATTTCATACCACAGTAACATATTGATCGAGTTTAGGAAATGCTTCGAAGACATGTGTCATATCGAACTACTATTCATAGTCTTTTTTATCTATAAACTATACCATTATTTTTCTTTAGAGGATTACAAGTTATATGAGAAAAGTCAAGTTGGATAACCTTTGTAAATTTATCCACATTTCACGGCTTTCACGTCATTCAAAATCTATCTGAGTAGCACTTGTGGTAAGCCTTCTAAAAGTTGCTATCTGAGTTTTAAACACAAATCGGGTGTTGGATGAAATCAATTTTGTTTAATGCCTTTACTTTCAAACAGATAGCCTATTTTTTTTGTCTCTAATGTCAAATAAGCCTCTCGATACAACCATAAAGAAGGCAGGGCCCAGTAAGCCCTCAGCTATATCAAAACAAGTACTTAAAACAACACCTATTCCTCAGCCTGTGAAATCTTCGTCTTCTACTCCAAGCAATGTCTATGCTACTAATTATCCAACCCAAGATACCCCCAGAGGAAAAGCAACACAACCTCTTCGAAGCACAAAAGTATCTCAAAAACTTGTACTCTTTCCACAATCCGATGATGCTGAGGCCACGATGCAAGCCACCTTACCTGTTGACAGCACCGATCATGTCTTGCCCCAACGTCGTAAATCCTCTGCTTCTTTTGAACGGCCTTGGCAGCCCATTGACCAGCCAACTACACCTACAGCAGCTGCCGGTCTTCCTTTACCTATTGAATGGACTTTTGACACGCGCACACCGGCTGAGAGAATGACCAAAGATGAGCGTGATTTAGCTGGGTTGCCTCGTGCAGCAGCCTACTGCACGGGCGAAGGATATGATCTCACACGTCTTCGTCCGTTCCTGCGTGAGCATCATCGTGCCTTTCCTCGTTTGTACGACGAATGCCTATATGCAGCCTATCACTTCCCTCTTCGCACTTTACGTCCTGGCAAGGATAACCTGCATAACGTTAGAGTACAGAGTAACGTGCCAAAAGTGTCAGTTGGCAGTAGACAGAACACGATGGATGAAGAATATATGGACTATGAAGAAGACCATTACCGATCTGAGGAGCCTATTGTTATTCAGCCACGAGAGGGTGATCCTTACACTGATTACTTTCACAGACAAAAAGGAGTGCACTATGATCAACCCGAAGATCAGCAACCACTGATTGAACACAGAGAAAAAGACGATGATACGTATGAGGAGCCAAGTGCTCAGGATGAAGAAAACTTATACAATGACAGCACTGCTCATGATGACAGCAGTAGTAATAACAGACCCGATATGGATTCAGAAAACAATAAGCCAAATGAAGATCAGGCAACAAAACCTCGCGAGTTGTTCAAAGGAGGTGAAGTGTTCATATTTGATTATGGTGTTGTCGTATTCTGGAATTTCCGTCGTGCCGAGGAGCTGCTTATGTTGGAAGACTTTATGCAGTTCTCCATTGAACCTTTTAGGGATAATCCAGATGAGGATATGCAGATAGAGGAAATACATTTCCAATATGATACATCGCAAATGAAGCCTAGAATATTTAATGACATGATTACACTCAAAAGTAGTAATCATATGATCAAATTAACCTTATCTCATGGCCTTTCGCAAAGTGCTGTAGTGGCAAGGTATGAAGATATTATGGATAAGACAATTGACGTAGGGAAAAAACAATTCAAAATATAACCCTGACATGCCGCCTGATTCCTCTTTCTTTAGGAAACCAAACATCTACCAAAAGAAATGGCAGAAACTGGACGATTGGGCAAAACCCGTACAGAGATAACAAAGATTAACGGTCAATTATTTAACCTTAGAATGAACGTTAACCTTGTTTCTAATGTCCTAGGTAAGCTACATATATCAAAACAAGTTGCATAAAAGACTAATCGTGAAAAGATACGCCTGAAATCTTTTGGTCTGAACCTGCTCTAGAGCCAATGTATACGGCCATAAGAGAATATTTAGAAATACCCCAACGCGCAAAAATCCTAAATGATCGTTTGCGCGTGATCTCTGATTTGTTGTCTATGTTGAGAGATCATCTAACAAATTTTGGCGTAGAATATCAAACATTGATCATTATTTATCTTATTATTGTTGCTGTCATCGTTGCATGTGTAAGTATAAGAAATATTTAAGAATGCCTTGACTAATCCGTTCACATACAAGTTTGAAATTGCTGTCAAGATATTACAATCTCTTAATGTAGTATAAAAATTTCTTTCTTCATTACTCTTTCACTAAAATAAACTCTACATTTTTAAACATGTGTTGTGCAATGGAGAAAAATCAATAATGTTATACTGAGGGTAACTCATAATTGTTTAATACTTTATAATATAAATAAAATAATCTAAATAGGGATGTTTTTAATTGGAATAAATTTGGATAAAAGTGACTCTCCCAAGGTCATTGGCGCTAACACGAGGGTGGCAAAGCCCAGAAATATGCTATAGAACAGGATTCCATAGCGGATAGCTGCAAGCTTGCGTTCTTTTTGCTGCTTTGCTGTGTATATGTGAGCACGGATCTGCTTAGAAGGACGTAACCAGAATAACATGATTGAATGAACTGTGTTAATGTATGGGATCAGAATGAACAAGGACAAGAAGAAGAGTATGAGATGAGCAAGAAGGAAGTCTGTAGCAAATTCAGTCATTTCGATGATTTTACAGACAAATTCACGAGCAGGTTGAGTTATAGCTATAGGTATGAAGGATTAGTGCCAGGCCTCCCTTATTCAGTCATATTCTATCTTACCATGCCATCCGAGCTAAATGTTGTGAATTATAATAATAAAAGAAACGGTTAGCAATAGATCGTAATTATTTATCTAAAATACTTACCTCCCGCCCATACCACTTGCCTGTCCACCATCCTCTGTTTGCTTCGTCATGTTTAAACTCTCGTGTCAAAAAGACAACAGTCAGAAACTTTATAAAAAATCGCTGGATACTGGACATGGCGATAATGGCAAGCACTACGTTGGTGAAGTTCCAGTGTTCAAGTATAAACAAGACTTCAAATATAATAATCATGCTCAAAACAGCCCAACCATGAGCCAAAGCTCCCATGAATGAACCAAACTTGGTAATCCATATGCTGAGAATGCTGCCAATAGCAATAGACATACCAAAGAAAGCGACTATACCAACAACATTTAAGATGATAGGAGCAAAAGACAAGACGCCGATACGGATCAAGCCACTGGGTCCTGTTGATGGTAGTGTACGGTCGGTGGGGTCAAAGCTTTTTGCAAATGCATAAGGTATGGTACAAAGGACAGCATGAATAAAAGGAAAGATAACCTCGGATATAATCATGGCGTATCTATTGGCTCGCGGTACGTCTGCAATGCCCTTTGTAGCATCATTTTCCTTGCTACGTTTGTAACCTGTAATACGTGCTCGAGAAGAGCGTATATGGCTGATCCATGAGTTTGGATGTGTCTTGGAGTTACCGCGTGACATCCATCGAATGAATGCTTTATAGTCGAGAAGGAATTCAAGAGGAGCAAATTGATTGGGGTTAAATATAAACGGTGAGACAATCAGTGCTATCACAGTAAACCAAAAGTATACCAAATGAGGTATCCAGTAAGCCAAGGAGGCAAATAACATGATCAAAAAGTTACGTGCTCCCACGTAAATACTAGGACCAGTGAAACGAGAATAGAGCGTGGAAAAGGGAATACGCGATGTAGCAAAACCACGACCTGTGCCAATGTAACGTGCACCACCGTAGACTAAATTTTCAAGCACGGAATTTGTGTAAATCTGCGTGACGAAAATTTCAAAGAGTGGAGACAAGCAAGCAAAATGCTTTGCCATACGTGTCAAGCTTCTCCAGATACCCTTTTCTGTCAATTCTTGTAGGAACAAAGGCAAGAAAGCAACAAGGAATACTGCAATAATAGATATAATACAACGCTTGACCCAGTCGAATATGGGAATAATGTTATAACATCCTTCCGGTGTCAAAGGGGTATCTTCGGGCAAATCTGGGTTGTATTCACAAATAGTAAGCGAGTGACCCATGGCACTAATAAATAAAACAGCTAGCATAAACATTTGTACAGACAGCATGATGAAAATATTGTTCAGATGGAACCCAGGATGAGCATAGTAAAAGGTCAGGAAACGGTCAAGAGGAAGCTGTGTGCCGATATAATAGTATTCACGAGATAACATTTGTTCCCCCATACCAGTACCAATCTTGGTTGTAAAGTTCAAGATAGAGCCAAAGCCTAAATCACGGCCCTTACCACACTGGAAGTATTCTGTATGCTTGATGCGACCGCCTCTTGTGAAGGAGTTCATGCCTGCGTAAATATCTTCATTCAAATGCAGTCCCTTTTGTGCCTTGGAAACACCACCTCTTGTATTCATATAGATTGCGTTTAAAAAGTCTGGATGGCCATAATGTAACTTTCCTCCACTCTTTGCCATGATTCTTTGTGTTAACGTGCCAAATGTTTGCTCTTTACCAGCAGCTACATCACCTAGGACGCCTGTATTTTCGGAAAAGATGTATTCACGCGCACCCACAATAGACACTGGGTGTTTGTTATTCTTTGGGTAATTTGAAGAATAGGGCGATACCTGGAGAGTGTCGGATACTTCGAATTCATTAAGCACATTGCAAATCTTGTAGCATTCTTCAAGATAATTGTCTTGATTAGCATCCACCAACTGTAAGAATTCACCTCTGTAAAAGATGATGGCATGATTTTGATTGTCGGATTTACCATCACCCAAAATGGGGTTACCAGGGAGTCGAATGCGAAAGTAAGGCTTACGTTTACCAGTGCTTAAAAGCTCCGCATGACCATCTATAAGTGCAGAGTAATATATTGGTTCACCACCTTCTTCTCTTGGAGGATCTTCATCAATATAAGCAATTCTAAGATCTGGAAAGGCTTTGAGTACAATTTCAGTGTCTTCTACTTCTGTTTTAGTGAACTTTGCATATCGCTGCATTGCTACAACAAACTTGAACTTTGAGTTCACTAGTATATTCATATCTCTTTCGAGAGCGTCCTGATCTCCTTCATAGTTTACAGTATCTCCAAAATTTTCAACTTTGAATAACACTCGAATGGCCTTTCGATAGTTCATAAATCCAGATATTGTACGGTACAGTGTTTGTGCTCGTAGTGAAGCCCATATACGTGTTCGAAGCTTATACTCTGGCTTGGAGTCTTTGAAACCGAGACAGTAGAAAGGAAGGTCGTCGTACTTTGGGACTTTTTTGACGTTACCGTCTACAGGAAGATTAACTGAACTGTTATTATTAGAACCTATAAGCGTGCTGGCGGTTTCTGCATGACTTCCACTAGGATCAAGTAGACCTGAAGCGTTTTTTTCGACATCGCTAACCCTAACCTTTGTATCCTTCACAAAGTTCTCCCATTCTGCAGCATGAAGTTGTTTCAGATACTCTAGCAAAGTCACACGCGTGCTGTCATCCTCTTCCTTGATGATTTCTCTTAATGACAAAAGAATTTTTTCACCATAGTGAGGCTATATATAGAGAGAGAGAGAGTATAAGCGCACAATGTACAACTGGATCTTTATATACTTACAGTAAGCACAGTAAATGTTGGCATTGACTGCACAGGATAAGCCGAAGGCATAGGCGTTGTTAAACTTTGGGCGAAAAAATGGAAACGTCGCTCGGCTTCTCCTCCACGAGGAAAGTACTCTGCCTTGAATGAGATGTCTTCTTGTGTAATAAAGAAATTGGGTGCTTTCATGTTATACGGAAGATCAGGAACAGGGTCCTAAGCGGAAGGAAAATATGAATAAAATACACAAATTGAATAATACAACATAGACTTACACTTGTATAAAGCATACTCTGTGCGTGTTCTGCTGAAATTAAGTGTTCTTGATAAATAGAGACCACAATCGAGTTCCAAATGGACGAACACACAGTTCTTGATTTTTCAACAATGTGAATATCAGGCGATGCCAACAGTTTGCTAAACATTCGTTGTGGTAGCCGTGCAAAGATACTTCTCCATGGTGTCCAAATGGATATACCAAGATAAAATGATCGAGCCACAGAAAAGATGGTATTCCAAGTAATGTACCATAGGTAAGTGTCCAAGAAATAGAGCACTAAATCCATTAAAAGCATAATAGCAATGGTAATTCGAGGCATTTGTTCACAAAGCATTGTTCCCAATATTTTATCATTACAATTTGTGATATCCATCTTGCTGATTACCTTTAGAGGATCTTTGAAGGATAAAGCCAAGAAGAAATAGGATTCCAACAGCTTACAAGTGAAAACACATAGCCAAAGACACACAGACATAACTCGATCAATCGGTTTCAGTGGAGCAAAGTTCGCAGTAAAGACCTCATGTGCTAGGTCATCCCTTGTGTGCTTCAGCTTTCCTTTGAAGAGTCGTGCCGGAGGTACTATGGCTAGATAGAGTGTTGTTGCAATACTCAAAAATAGCTGAATGACCGCTGCTGTTTTTGACTTCCAGGATATTCGGTCCATATAAACACAGTAATAACTAGGCCCAGCATTGATAATCATGAGAAGGAACAAAAACATAATTCGACGAAAGAGGCATTTTGACTTGGTCCAAGTGAAAGGAAGATATGAAAGTTCGGAAAACGAACCGATGAGCACAAGCAGACATGCGATCATGCCACCCAGGGCGACAATGGATATTTGAACTGAGACCTCCTGATCAGCAATTTCTTTCTCTGGGTTCAGGTATAGAGAGTATGCGTTAGCTGTTATATAGTACCAGAACGTGACAATATGAATAACCCAGACCCTTGAAAAGTTAACAGATGCATGCATCCATGTACGTTTTTCTTTATATGTCTTTTTGAATGTTTTTGCCCAATTGACATTCTTCAGAGCATCGTAGCGTTCGTGCGGTGGGAGCTTTCCCAATGTATTTTTTTTGTCATCTGATAAATATATTTTGTCATAGAATGATGAATGCCAGAAGAACTGGTTGACATCGTCATATCCAATAATTTTATCATGGTCTCGCTCTCTCTTCATGTATCTGCCGAATTTCATGACGTATCCTTGGTTCCTAAAAAATTCAAATAGTGGCCTTATGACGGTGTCCAAATAAGTGCCTTCCTCGACGTCAGGCTTTTCATTTCCACTGTGGCAGTAGTAATCGGATGCTGTTTTATAAAGAAAGCAAAGCGCTTCCGGGGTATATCGAACCTGTGCAGCCTCTCCCCAGAGCATGAGATATAAGGCCAAGTCGCGCACTTTTTCTTCATTTGTGAGTGATTGCATACGGAGCAACCACTTCTCTTCGTTTCTTTCTAGTTGCTCTTGCTCATCTCCAATGTCTTTAGCTGCATTCTTTTGTTCTTCGGTCAAGTCATAAATATCCATCTGAGAAGCAAAGTACCATTTACGATAGTTGGAATTATCTCCACCAATGTAATCTGCGTGAAGTGTATCAAGTGCCACTTGTGGTTTATAGCGAGATGCACGCGAGTCTAACATAGTCATCAAATGCTCTGTCATATTCTTGACACTATCTTTTTGAAATCCAAACTTTTTGGCAATGTTGTTGAATATAGCCTCTATGTTGTTAAATTTTACTGGAACATCCTCTTCCGGACCCCAAGATGGATATGGATATTGGTCCGTAACCTTGTACCGCGAAAAAGGATAGAATCTCAATTTGGCATTGGGTTGATCGTCCGTGTTGTGTGAATTGGAGTTTTTGGAAATTGTGTCTGTTGAGCCAGATGGGTGCATTCCAGTATTTTCTAGTACTGTTCGCACCGAGCCAGATGATACGCCGCAGGGTCCGTATCGACTATCTCTGTCGTCATCTAGTCTGCCAAATAGATCTCTGTCGAGAAGTTTTGGATGAAAACTAAAATCAACTGAACTTGATGAGGACCGATATCGTTCTCGTCGATAATGGCTATTTGGTCCTAGATTTACATTCGGGATGGCTAATAAATGCTGTGACATTTGCTGTGGTTTAGGTGCTGTATTAAACTCTATAAGGTAATAAAATATTAAAGTGTATTTCATAACGAAGTCTCATTCTTACCTTGAGAAATCGCATCCACGTTGACGTCTAATGTAGGCGAAGGTAATTTCAAGTCAGTTTCTGGAATATGTTGTTCAGCGACCGAATTCCTTGTGCTTTTGTTCTCCCCTGAACCATTCGTGGCGCTAAAAAAGGAAACTATGTTAAACAATGTGAGGCGTCAAATTTGAATGTGACATTTACGTGGCATAATAAGCACGGATGTCTTGAAGGCCTTCTGGATGATCTTCTTCAGAGTCAGCCGGGCGATTACTTTCATGGCTTACTCTAGGTTTGCTTTCATGTATATTCGAACTTTCATGACTTATTTGATGGCTGTTTTCGTGAATTGATGTACGATTGTTTTCATAGGTTGATTTTCGGTTGCTATCATAAACTGACGTACGGTTGCTTCCCTGGATTGATGAACGGTTGTCTTCAGAAGCTATAAAGTGAGGCGCGCAGTCAGTGAACTGTCCTTCTTCAGGACTGTTGAGATCATTGTCTTCGTTATTGTCGTTGTCCCCCATTGTTTGCCTGAGAAAGGATGAGCAACAGAGACAAGTTGTGTATTAAAAGCTAGATTGTAAAAAGAAAAAGACCCCCTGATCAAAAAGAAAATATTTCGCTTTGCTCAATTATTTGAGAACATGAAGAAGTCCATTATTCAATGATAAAGCGTAGCGGTTGTATTTGAAAGATTCTAAAATATGTGGCTTCATGATGCTCTGAGCCATATGTGACTATGGAAAGTAATACTTTGCTCATGCAATATTCTTTGTATTCCTTTTCATTGTCTCGCTTTGCTTTAACTTGATAGTGTATTAGGTAACCATATAATATTGCGCTTTATAAGCCGTTAATTAAATATTGATTATGAGGAAAATATGTCGCACAAATGGGTTGATTCATTGTTTTCCCAACAATCTTCTCTTTCTCCTTATACCACTATCGCCTCGAGAATACAGATCGGGCGGAAGTTGAAAGGATAACCCCGGAAGCGTAACCAGGGGAGTTTAAGCCACTGGTAATTAGCATAATTTAACTCGACATACTTTTTTTTCACTGTTATCTCGTTCCTCTTGAAATGTATAATAGATCAGCAGCTAGATTGCAAAAAACAGCATTCAATTTATTAAGGAGAGGTTACTCAGCAACACCAGAAGAACCTGCTTCCTCTGCTGCCCGTAAGCTTGCTGAGGAAGCATTGGCACAAAAAACCGGTGCTGTCAAGGGAAAAGTCACTCTTCCCAAGGGTGACAAGAAACCTACAAAGGCATCAGGCAGTAAAGACGGTAACATGAAAGAGATTGCCTTAGTAGGCGGCATCTTGACTGGCGGTGCTCTTGGTGGTTTGTTTTATTATGGTAAAATCAGCGCGCAGTATAGACGAATTCTTTGTTCATAGTTTTATTTAGGACGTCCTTTTGAGGGTGAAAGAGAAGAAAAGGTAAGGAAGCATACTAGGATATAACTAGATAACTTATAGGAAATAATTCGATAGTATGCAAACGAAAACGCTTTTACTGCAGCATATAAACGTTGCTTGGACCGATTTAAAGAGTTTCAGCATGTAAGAAGAGCAACAGTGAACCAACTCTTCACCGAAACTGACAGATTGATATAGGAAATGAATAAACCAATGTGGGATAAACTTCTCCCAGAGCCTTTGCCAGAGCCATACCGTAGACCTTATACGCTTGTTATCAACTTGGATGAAACTTTAGTTTATTCTTACTGGGATGTAAGTACACCATGATTTCTTAAAATGAAGTATAACTCATAGACGTAATATAGAAAGAGCATGGATGGCGTCATGCTAAACGACCTGGTGTCGATTATTTCCTTTCGTATCTCTCCCAATTCTATGAAATTGTTGTTTTCACGTCTCAACCTGCAATGGTAAACGAAAAGAAGATGCTTAAAGCGAGATTCTAACTACCTTTCTATAAAAGAATGCTGCTCCTATTTTGGATAAATTAGATCCCTATCAATATGCCATGTACAGACTGTATCGTGATGGTACACGTTATATTGATGGAAAGTACGTCAAGGACTTATCCTACTTGAACCGTGACTTGAGCAAGGTCATCATCATGGATTCCAATCCCGAATCTTTCAGCTTACAGCCTGAAAACGGTATCGCTCTGAAACCCTGGAAGGGGCAAGCTGATGATAAAGGTCTTTTGGAATACATTCCTTTCTTGGAAGGTAAGTAAAGGATGAGATTTTTGAACGAGACTTAACCTTGCCCTACAGCTGTTGCGTTGACAAATCCTCCTGATGTTCGACCCGTGCTGAAGAGTTTTGAAGGAACATATATTCCAGTGGAATGGGCTAAGCGTGAGGAAGAGATGAACAAATTACATCGACTTCAATGGGAAGAAGAACAGGCAAAGAAGAAAACGAAGCGTAATTTGGGATCTCTCCTAACCGGAGGAGCATCCGATGTGACAGAGGGACCTCCACCTACCTACTTGGAGCAAATGAGAAAGCATGTAAGAGAAACTTTCGCAACTGAATTTGAGCAACAAAAGAAGATGCAAGAGGAAGCCATGCAACAAGATATGGAAAAACAAATGGAAATGATGAAGCAAATGAAGATGTCCGTTTGGGATTTAATGACTCAGGCTGCTTCGGTAAGATAAATACAGAATAAACACACTAATGTGCTAATAATGATTTAACAGGGTCAACCTATTATGCCACCTCAGCCTGCAAATGAACAATCCAATCAACAGTAAATAAAATGTATATTGGGGCAAACACTTACTTCCATCTTAATTTCTAAATGTATTAATTCAAGCTGACAACCTTCATACAACATTTTAAGGAATGAAATTGTGCTGTGTGTCTTTTCTATAATCATAAAGGGAAAGCATTAGAGCCGACATTCAAAAAACGAGAAACTAAGTTGACATAAATCCAATAACAAAGGAGAATGGGTGTAAAGAAATTCTGGATATAGATTAGTATGTTTTCATTTAATGACAAAAACTTTGATTATTTAGCAAACATTCAGCTCGGTGATAGAACCATGTACCTTTGTAAACACTTTGAATGTATTACAAACGCGGGTTTGTACTTTTGCTTATTTGCTATAAAACAGCAATATTGTCTTTTAGCATGCCAAGATAACCCTTTCAGCAACACTGTATTAAAAGATGACGCTTGTTAAAGTCAATATCGCTTTTTCATGAAAAATATCATCTGTTTTGAGATTATTTACAAGTATTTACCTAACAAAGTGAAAATGTGAATAACCTAAACAATTAGTGGAATTTTGAAATTGAAAGTTACAATAATAAATAAACCAGTTACCAATGATGCTGTATAAACCTACGGAACCAGTTACTTAAATAAAATTGCATCACACCATCATTAGGAAGACCAAAGACAGTAACAGCTGTCATATCCTTTGTATCCATATTTTACTTATCACACTTCTTGGTAACACTCGATGGTTAAAATATATACACTCTGTATTCCAGAATTCAGAAAAAGAAAAGAAAAAAAGGAAAAAAAGAAACGTTGGCAAGTCGATGGAAAGCAGTTTGTTAATAGTCTTTAGAATTTTCATGAATCTGTAATTATCTGTTTATAGCGATGTGGACCCCTTTTTTTGAATTGTTTAGTGCAGCATGAGTTAAGTGGGTCACCCATGGCCGAAAAAAAAAAAAAAAAAAAAAACTTTGTGTGCATAGATGGGGCCACCTTTATTGTGACACGATCAAGCACGTATTCCGAGCCATCATGGATAGACCTCATTAACGGCTAATTCGGATACTGAGACGAAGTCTTTTAATTTTTATGAACTCTTTCTACATCAATTTTATTGAAGTCACCGAATACCGTCGAGACTACATAAACGCCAAGAAGCACGATGCTGATCAATTTGCAAAGCCCGGCATATGGCGTTAACTTGAGATAAAATTATCGCTATTATTGTTATCTTATGTGTTGTTTAGCTGTAATAAATGATACAAGACAAATATTTCATTGAAAAAGGGACTTATTTTACTGCTGTGCCACACTACTATATTTGTCTTGGCTTTTTTGTTGTAGTTATAATGAAAATTATTCCATCCTGTTCCTCATTTCAAATTGTATTACAAAGCACCCAACAAAGTATAAATTGATATTTGTGTTAAACAAGAGTATAATTGATCGTCACGGAATAAGGATAAACAACGCTTTTTTGTTACCATGGATATAAAGTTTAATAAGTGATATCTTTAAGGCAAAAAATCACGGGAAGCATTAGTTGGACGCATGAATTTTAAGTCGGATGTCATGTGTTTTCTTGGTAACAAGTTATTAAAATAAAGCATTCCCAATCAAACATGAAACACTTTGGGTTATCCCAAATAGGAAATATGGAATCTAGTCAGTCCGTTTTTGAACACAAAAAAGCAAAGACCAATAGGTAAACTATATCTGACCATTTAAGGTAAGGTAGTGCTGTCACTTTCTGAAAAGGTTGAGAATTTTTTTTCTTGAATACACAAAACTCAAATTTTGTTCAAATTTAGTAAAATTAAAAGTTATATTGGTAACCACCTGCCCTTTTATTCTTTCGGAACTTATCCCGTTGCTATAGAAATACGTAATGTGGACAGGGAACATCTTAAGATCAGGAACCATCCTTTTTGATAGGCAATTGTACAAAATTGACAACATGGCAAAATGATGATACTTGTAGTCATGGCGATAAAGATAAAGTTGTAGTTGGTAGTCTTTATTTCAAAACAGAGAAAGAAAAGGGGAAAGAGCGAGAGCAAGAAAGAGAGAGATAACCAGCCTAAATGCGCGCCAAAATAAAGTTTACACTGCATATTGAAATCCTTCGAATATATCCTTCTTTACCTTCCTTACAGCTTAGCCCGTTTGCTGTAATATAAACAGATTTATATATTAGTGTAATTGCTTTATTAATCCACGTCATTACTATCATTTGCACCACCTGATATTTGTTCACCCCTTTTTATAGCCTCTTGCTTTTTTCTGCTTTTCTTTTCTTTTTTTTTTTTGTAACTTGTCTCTTTTATATATATTACTTATGCAATCATACATGATACCCAGAAGCATACCCTCCCCAACTTTTAAACCTCGTAAATCAGATATCTCTGCTGGCACACCTTGGATGCAATCATCTCCTTGTTCAGAAAATACAAAGCCAACCAAAACCTCTCTTGCAGTATCTGATATGAAAGTAGAAAAGAACACGGAAGGAAAGCCACCTTACTCGTACGCTACCTTGATTAAATATGCTATCGAACGAAGTCCTGGAAACAAGTTAACCCTAAGCCAAATATACCAGTGGGTGATTGATCACTACCCATACTACGCATCAGCCGGTTCCGGTTGGAAGGTATGTATAAATCACTTGGGGTGTAACCAACGGAACAGCCTCAATTACTCCTCGCAGGGTTCAGTGTAACTAATAAGCCTCTTTTATATTTAGAATTCAATTAGACATAACTTATCTTTGAACAAGAGTTTTGTTCGTGTCCCTCGTCCAGTGAATGAACCAGGCAAAGGCTCTTATTGGACTGTAGATCAATATGCTCAACTCAATGATACTAAAATCAAATCTAATCACCGTGGCAAAAGACCCGCACCTGAACTTAGCCGAACCTTCAGTGACCCTTGGCCAACTGCTCGCAGATCTCTGTCTACTGATGCAGGACCAATTCGTAACTATGGATACTGTCTTCATCCATATGCCTATGATAGGTCCTACCCCTATCCTTCCTATCACCGCTATCCACAAGAGGCTTCTTGGTTGCCTGCTAGACACAACTCCACAGTGACCTACTCTCTCCCTCCCTCAGCAATGACAAATCTCAAGAACTACGAAAACTTTTATGATGTGCGCTCAAACTATACATCCAATACCCTATTTTACCCACACAGGCAGTCATGTCCAGATTTGACCAATATTACCTATCCTGAAACAGATGCTGTCCCTAACTTTTGCCTCCGTGAACCTACCGATGTATCACCATCATGTGATAAGGTGCTGTACAATAGTAACCAATCAGACATCCTGAAGAATACCCCATTCGATTACAACCAATCTAATGATACCAAATTAGTCGATCAATCCAACTTCTATCAACAAGGTGCAAACTTGCCTTCACCTATCGCATCACCCATCAACATGTCTTCACCCATCGACAACAACAGTAACAACTACATCAGTGATTGCTTAACATCATCTTCTTCACCTCTTGTTATCACTAACCACAGCTCACCTATTGAGGATGCATTAAAGTCACCCTATTATAACCCTTTAAACTATCTTGACATGGTGCCTCAATCACAGGAAGCATCATCCGAAAGCCTGGGGTCATCTTGTTCCTCTTCACCTCAACCATCATCTGGTCTAGGAAAGCCATTCACAGAATCTCCAAAGTTCCTGCAATTCATGTCTGATAAAGATACCATCAAAAGTCAACAAGAGCACAACATGATTTCTACAGACGGTAGATTTGAATTTCAAGCATTGTAAAACATCATATACACATACACACACATACATTATACTTCAAACAAGTGCAAGCAACATTCATACCTAATGTATTTCTTCAAAAAAAAAAACTCTTTTATGCATATTTAAATAAAAATATATATCCATTGCTGTTTCTTTATATTTATTCCACAACCCAAACATGACTTGACTTTCTTTTTGTTGTCCACTCTTTTAGTAAACACAAAAGTGCTAATCCATCTACTGGTTCAAAATTGGAAGAGCCTAACGATTTTACTATCTGCTTATGTACATTCTGCTCAAACAGGCTGTCTATGGCTAGCACAACAACCTTACACTTTGCTCGTGACAGGGTAACATTCCATCTTCTGAAATCGACTAAAAAGTCATTTCTGTAATCATTCAACTTGCACACATAACAAGCAATAATCAAATCGCTCTCTTGTCCTTGCATCTTATCCACAGTACCAACCAATATCTTGGCTGAAACATGATTAAGCCTTCTTTTGATCGCAACGCATTGTTTCACATAGGGGGCAATAACCATGACCTTGGGCGCATCTTGTCGGACAGGCAACGGTGATTCTTTTAGGGAGCCCAAATAGGCATCTACTAGTTTGCGGACAATATTTGCTTCTACTTCCTGCATCTGAGACATCAAATATACAGGAACTTGTACGTTCACCAACGAAATCGCACGTGAAGGATCCAGAATAGACCTTACCAGATCGTCTTTCATATCTTTTTCTCGCAGCTTGAGTTTCCTTTCTGGGTTACGTGAGATGAGGTCGGGTCCATATACCAATTTAAAGAATCTATTCATTTCATCATTCATGCGCCAGTTATCTTTCAGCTGCAATGTATTCGGACCAAAATCGTTCACAGAATCCTTCTGCAGAAGGAATGCACGAGTACTTATTGCATCATTATGTTCTGTCCTCATCAAGCACTGTTGAATGGAACCGTATAAAAGAGGATCTTTGACAGATACGGTTAGTTTAGAATAGTCGTTTGCCAAAATTGGACCCAGTTGCTAGATGATGCATGTGAGTGGCGATAGGAAAAAAAGATATGCATCTTACCATATGATCTCCTGCAACAATGAGTCTGCAGCGTGGAAACGAAAGGCATCTAATTGCCAGTAGTGCATCAGATACAAGCAGCTGAGAACCTTCATCGATAAGCATCATTCTGCACCCCTTAAATGATTTCCAGTTATCTTTAATGTTATTCCAGCTGTAAACAGTGGCACCCATGACAAACACTCTTATTCCGGATTCTTTCTTCAACTTGTTCACGACAGTGAGTGATTCTCTCCATTTGACGTACTTGATATTTGACTCTCTGTCTTCGTTTGTATCGTATGTGACAAAAATAATAGAAAATAAATCCTCAAGTCCGTGCTGCTTCTGTATGTCTTCTATACGCTTCAAAAGGTTTAATATCGAGGTATTGGTGAACGCGGTGACGCCAATCATCAGATCTGTTAATCCATTACATCTGACAAAGTGGAGGACATACCAGTTGATAAATCTGGATAAAAACTCTGTTTTACCAGATCCCTTGGGGTCATGTAGTTTAGTTTCTATTAATATATCCAAACAAGGAAACTTACAGGAGGTCCCCAGATGATCTGCAGACGCCTTTGGATGATGCTGGTGGCAATTGCCTTTTGAGATAATGACATGTTGAATGTATTGAGTGATTCTTGTGTCTCCGATGATGAATTGAATCCAATATCATCAAATGCATTCTCCCTTGACCATTCATTCGGATCATTTAAGAGATCCTACATGTGTAACTTTAGTAAACACTATTAAGTAATATTATGATTGTAGCCTACGATAATATCCATAAATTCATCCTCTTTATCTATTCTTGTTATTGCATCTAGGCATTTCTGGGTAGTAAAGTCTGTGTATCGTTTATATAAGCGATACTTTGGAGCAGGCTTTCCGAGTGTGCCGAGCTTTGTCAGCGTTAGCTTTCTTTCATCAATATCTACATATGATATATTCACACAAGTAATTCCCTTCTTTTTGTATTTTGAAGTGTTCATGTGTAGTAAGTGCGAATATCGAGCAACTTCAATAATATCCTGATAATTATCAGGAACAAGGATATACTGGTGCCAGTCATTAAGGACAAGGCGGTCCAAATTTTCCTTCAAATCACGTCCATCACCTGTATCAATGACCTCAAACTGAAGGCTAACTTCAAACTTGCTTAGTCTGTGCTCTGATTTGAAACCAAGAATCAGGCTTGATGATGGTTGAAACATTCTAAGACCTCTTAGCATATCCAAGTCAGCAATAGGATCCCTTCGACATGTGTTGCATGCGGAAATACATTCGAGTTGTTTAAAGTATGTGAGTTTGGCAAGGATAGGGTGATTAAAGTATCTAGTTTCTGGCCATTTGAACGGAATACACGGAAGAGGGAATAGCTCTATGCAGTTCGATTCCATATATTCATTTGCCAGCATCCAATACGTCTCCATGACCGCATGAAGCCAGTTGAGTTGGTCAAGTAATTGCTGAACAACAAGTTGAACAACTCGCTCACCGTTTGAGCCATTTTTCTCCCTTTTTAACCATTGTTTATGAATGCTCTCATCGTAAAGTGAGTCCAAAGAAGCGCCTTCTTTTCTGTATGCACTTGCCATCCATTCTACAGCATCAGATAATTCATAACATACTGACGCAGGGAGGGCAATATTTTGTTCAAGTAGGTTTTCAATGCTAACAAACCGTTCAACTCCAGCTGACTTTTGACCCTCATCCATGCATGGAAAGGCTATCGGAGTGGAAAGGCCAAGGAGATCGACGCCTTGGAACAAAGTTACTAGACACTTGGCAGCAGCTTCAAGTATTTCTACTCTTCTCTTGTTCTGTAATGACTCCAGGTGCTTTCCTTTAGAAGCAATCAAGTTATATAAAAACGAGCCTATGGCATCTCTTGCTTTATTGTTGTACACGTAGAATAAACAGCGCGATCTTCGTCTGTCCATAAAATTGAGTAGTGTTGATAAATGACCAATGAATTTATCAGTAAAGCTGCAGTAAGCAGCATTGTCTTTATCGTCATCTAACTGGTAAGCACTAGCATTAACGCAAAAGGAGAACGAATCCTGTAAGAACACGCCTTCTTCAAAATCAAATACATGAAAGGCATAAGCGTAAGGCTTTCGAGAATAAGTATCCACTAGGAGCGAGGTATAGATGGCATGATCAACGTCTTTGGCAGTAGAAGTGGTGGCGTATCCAAGAAAGATTGGTTTTTTGCTTTCGTAAGACTGAATATATTGCTGAATATTTGTCATATCTCGAGTACGACCATGTTCATGAAGGTTCATGTTTTGGAACAATCCAGAAAGGTCTTCAATATCTTCAGGCGTGTTTTCTCGGATCATACTAAGCTTCTCCTGATTCATATAAGGCAGCTGTTTCACAGTCCCCTTTGCGTCCTCTTTGCACTGTGCATAGAAGGGGCAAGCAGAGCACTTCTTCCCTAGATTCCATTCTGGTTTACTGCTTTTGAGGATATCGATCAGTTTCTTTTTATAGAACAGTTTAATTTTGCCCATGACTAAATCAATACGAAACATTTGCGGCTTCTCCATATCGTTCGGTAACCACACACCACCTAACGCGTCTACTTCTAGATCTGGAATGTCTCTGATGAGATAACCTATCAAAAATGCATACGAGACGACTTGAAACTGGTGTGTACTTGACATGTTATTGGATGACTTTGCATCAATAATAAGAATTTTTTTGATTTTGGTTGCAGGATCTTCTTTGATATATAAAAAGTCTGGAATAAAGTTTCGTATTCTATACGTCTCGGCATCACCAATAACATCTGTATAGAATTCTTCGGGGAGGCTAAATCTCAGCTGATACAAATATTGACCGTGTTTAGCTTCTCTTAAGGCTTTCATGAAATCAGTAGTGTCTGTGTGATTGACAATGGATGATTTATGCATTTCAAAAAGCCGTTCTTCAAAGACCATGCCTCGTTTCATGTGTAAGCTCTTGGATGAAATTTCAAAGCTCTGTTCATTATTTGGTTGAGGCTTTGAAAGCAAGTAGTAATGCTTCTCGCAGTCGTAAAAGCTGCCACTGGCCAGAGCTGAAATGGAAAACTTTGGAATGACTTGAACTGACTAACAAAAGTAAACTTTGTATAAGACAGAAAAGTATTTGAAGAGTGAAGCCTTTTTATTATTTTTTACTTGTTTGATCATTAGCCGAATGAGAGACTAAAGAAAAAGAAGAGAAAAGGAAAAGATGACAGCATAGTCAAAGTAATACAAACTAGAATGCTTATTTAGTAAATGGCTTTTTAAATATCCCTTTCAGTATGCTTATTGTCATCAGTGCTGCTTTGGCTTGGATCTGCTGTATTTTCACGCTCCAAACACTTGCTTTATTTGTCTATCGATTCCAAACTTTTGTTGATACAGTCTTTTATTGCCTTGACAACTGAACTTGATATATTTTCATCTTCATCTACTACATTTTCGATTAATCTTTTCATATCCTCAAGAGCTGAGTATTATTAATGTTATTAGCGTCATTATTTATCAATCTTGTCAGCATTCTTATTTTTATTTTTATCAGATGAGTTAGAGAAATGTAAAGCAGAATGCGTATGCTTTACTGTAAGATATAGAGTATTATGATGATTTATATCAAAAGCATCAATAACTACTACGTTTTCTGGCTCTCCTTTCTTAGATCAGCCTTGATCTCTTACAGTGTGCAAGTTAAGCTCAGATTCATCAATAAAAAAAAAAAGCAGCTATGTGTAAACTGAAGCCTGAGTCAACTAATCAGGTCTTTTATTTTATTGTATCTATTTATCTGCACAATATTTGTTTAATGATAAATTGGGCCTACAGTACAACGACCGTTGACAACGACACCACTGACTATTTTGGAATATGTGCAGCTCTTGATTTCGACATAGGCAACCTTTCCAGGAGTATAAACACCAGTGATATGACTGTCTCTATTAATGTTGATGCGACAGTTTCCGTTGATCTTGTTGCTGTAACCAGAGCCAAAGCGAATCAAGCGACAATCACTAGCCCATTCAACATTTCCACTGCATCCGTCAACATTATTAACGCTGACCTTACAGTACGGTATAGGACAAATGTTGCGTCCACAGGATATTCCACGGCTGTAAGTTTTCATGCTGATAGAGCCTGCCTTTACTTGAGCGATAATAAAGGTAACATAGACTAAAAGTAAAAGACAAAAGGATTTCATATCATTTGGGATAATTGCTTTGATATCGAGATAAATAAAGTGCCGATCCGATCTTAGATATTTATACTAAATGATCTACTGACCAATGGATATGCAATCATCCAAGAATTCCTAGAACTCCAACAAGTCGTACTCTCGGTAGCACACGTTCTACTTGTGCAGATCGTATTTTTTATTAAACTTCGTGTAACACAGAACATGAGTCCTGCAACAGACATACCATATTTTCACTCCAACTTTCCGGTCAAAGCGGATAATTTCACAGTTTGTTTTAATCTATGGCAATTAAATGAATCCATTACCCATTTCAGTACCCAGCTTCTTGATGGGAATATAACAGAAGAGTATGTAGCTTCTTACAGTGAAGAGAAGAGTGAACTTGTCGACGCTAGCCTTGACATTGGGCGCATTTGGAGAAAACACATATTACAAAGGACGTAAAGAGGAGGAAGAGAATTACCAGGAACACATAAGTTTACTTCCTTTTTGGGCAGGACACATCAACGTGTAACAGCATATCCAGTTCTATCTCTACTCTGCTTGAGCTTTAACATTTTGGGTGTAAAGAAAGAAAATAAACCAATGTGTCTCGCCTAAAGAGGAAGGTGATTTTTTACATGTTCCGTTTAAAAAGGTAATTTCTTTTCTATTTAAATTTTTATGAATAAAAGAATAGGCAGTGCTTGGTTCTTAGCTAGGCTTAATAGTACCATTATATCTTACGTATATCGTCGTATTAATACAATGCTTTTGGTGAAATAGCTAAGTCGAATATATATATATAGAACCGGAAAAGATGAAAGCACGTTTTTCAAGGCTGCTTCTGCAAAGTAATACAGTGAGAACAGTGCTCTCAGGTCTGGTATTCTCTTGGACCCAAGGCTGACTATTATATGCTCAATATTAACTGAATCAGCTTCAACATATCACAATTATCTCTACTATCCATCTACATGCTCAGAAGCTCCTCAAATGGCTTAAACGGTTCCTTCAGCTTCACTTTTTATGGCTCAGTTTATCCCTTCTCCCTTTACTTTTTTTTACCCTTGTTTCCAAAGCGATTTTTCCATAGCATCAACGTTCCAAGGGATTGATCTGGTTCGGGTGGGCATTTTAGTAGTATTTTATTTTTATTTGCTTGAATTAACAAGTACATGCTTTTTATTTTTTTTAATTGACTAATGATAAGGGGAACGTTATCATTGAGCTATGGTGAGGCTAACCTTTCTTTTTTTTTTTCAACCTTCTTATCGGCTATGTTTTCAAAGTAAGCTGCTGGCAAGGTCGGGAATTTTAAATGTTCAAAGCTAGTTGATGCTAGCACGCATGCAGTTTGTGCACCTTTGATATCAAGTACATATCGTCTAATTGGCCAAGCAAATTCAACAGCCCAGATTTTTTCAATGGTATGTCCATTGAGACAATTTCTGTAAACATATACATCTTTTCAAACGCTAGATTCATGGCTAGCCATGTAATGGAAGGACTTAAAACACGAAAGAAAGCCAATTTACCATGTAGTTAGATTTTACTATTATTATTTTACCTGCAGCTTGAAATTCAAGAACAGTCTTCAAATTAAATTTATCTATAACATCCTTTGAAAATATCACCACTCTGTAGAAACTACTGATCAAGAAAGCTGGTGAAATACTTTTGCTGGGTTTGATCTCGCCATAAACATTCGTGTAGCTGTAGTTATACACTCTTTCCGGAAAGTAAATTCGCCTGTGACCGAAAATAAATGCACCCAATGGTGAGAACAAAAATCATATTGTATGAAATGTAAATTCGCCGTTATCAAGAATATTTTCGTAGTATCAGCCCTGACATCCATGGAGATACTGTATTTCCAAATTGAGATGTCGTATTGAAACCGTTGTAATGTTATCAGAGTAATAACAAATACAAAAAGAATATGGCTCACTATCTCATTTGACAGTAATATTAACAGGTGGGCTGGCTTGGAGTTGAAATTAACTTAATATTAGAAATAGTCCCTCTTTAGTCTCTTTGTAAAAGTTTAAATTCTTTATTCGGTTTTTCCATGAAATCAGAAGAACATGTAGTCATATTTGGCAATGCATATTCTTGAATGATCACGAAGCAGATTGCTTCTATTTGACATGATTTCTTTATCTTAGGTACCTGATCCTAAAACTTGTTTGAAAGAAAAGCATATAAAAACCCATTTTAATTGAGTCCTTTTTTTGCTTCTTTACAGCAGTTATCAAGTGTCCCTCTGAGTGTTCAAAGATTCACCAATCAAAACTAGCCTGTCCTCATGGCCCTTGCTCTGACTAGCTTGTCCCGCCCTCTCTGCTCTCTGGCATGTATCTGGAACGTTCCCCAATAGTTTCTTCTGACGCCCTGGGTTCTCTCTGTCCTCCGTTCCTTTTTTTTGTTTAAACTTCTCCTGGATAGTTATCGCTACCCTCCCCAGAATGCACCTTGGTGGTAAGTAAAACTAATATTAGGATATGTGCTCTAATACTAACATACTCTTTCTCTCTTTTTCTACATATACCCATTATCTCTCTCTCTTTTGATATAATGTCGCTTTATTCAAACGTGTTTTTCTTTGTCGTCTTTTTACGAAAATAATTTTTTTATTTTACGACAATATTTTATAAAATTAACGTCAATAATTAATAAAAATACAGTATGCTTCGTATATGTCAACCTTGTAATCCGGCCGATTTTTATTTGAAGTATATTGTTCATCTGCTGTACGGTTAATCAGTCTTTTATTTACAATTAAAGCCTCAAGTGGGCGCACGATAATAATATATCTTCTTCGCCCGAGGCAGATCAAAAAAGAATGAAGAATGGGTATCTAAAAAAAAACCCTTATGAGATCAAGGGTAAAAAAGTTATTGAAGAAATGATGTTGGGGCAAGTGTAAGATACACTAGTGAGGGCAACGAGGGAGCCAATCGAGGAGCTTTTGCCCAAGGTGTGGGGGCGGAGAAGGTGGACACTTCTGATGATGGAGGTAGTCGAGTTCATGAAGAAGAGTGCAGATAGCTGGCCAACGAATGGCCCATGGGAGAGTGGCTTGAAAGGAGCGTGGTTTCATCTGCTATACGGTTAAACAATCTTTTATCACTCTAATATTATGATTCTATGGCCATCGTTCGTCATTTTGGGAAGCCATCTTTGTTTATCACCTTTACGGCCAATCCCAAGTGGGCAGAAATCACCAATGAGCTCCTCCCTGGTCAAGTTGCCTTTGACAGACCCGATTTGATAGCGAGAGTGTTCAACTTGAAAGTTCGTCACTTTTTAAACGACTTGAAAAAGAAGAATATCTTTGGTCGATATAAGGGATTGGTTCGTACCATTGAGTACCAAAAACGAGGTTTGTCTCACATGCACCTCTTATTGTTCTTAGATCCTGAAGATAATTTTCACGATGCTGACAAAGTTGATGAGATTATCTGTGCAGAAATCCCTGATAAGACGAACGATCCAGAGCTGTTTGAAATTGTAACCTCCTGCATGTTACATGGCCCATGTGGTGAAATTAATCCTGGCAGTCCATGTATGGTACAGGGCGCACAAGGGTTAATGGTTTGCTCGAAGCGGTTTCCAAAACCATTTCAGGATGAGACCACCTTTCCTGAGAATGGCTATCCTCTTTATCGTCGTAGACGAATTGCAGCAGAGGAGCAAAACAATTTCTTTTACTCTGTCAGACCACGCGGAAGAGTAGGTGCTGACTTTGTTATGGATAACCGTTGGGTTGTTTCATACAATCCATACCTTACAAAGAAATACAAAGCACACATCAACGTTGAAGTTTGTACTGGTATCGAAGCCGTCAAATATATTAACAAGTATGTCTACAAAGGATCGGACAGAACCACGTTGGAGATCGAGGATACAGAAGATGAAATCAAAAAGTACCTTCACTCCAGGTATATTGGGCCCTCTGAAGCTGTATGGAACCTCTTTCAATTCAAGACGCATGAGGAAGATCCCACAGTAATTAGCCTGCAGGTACATTTACCGGGTCAGCAAGCTGTCTATTTCCCTTCTGAGGCATCAGCAGCAGAGATTTCAAGAATTCTCGAAAGAAATATGACAACCCTGATGGCCTTCTTTGACTATAATGCAAGGAACGAGGATGGTAGACAATATCTCTACCAGGAGTTTCCTCAGCATTTTGTCTTTGACGAAAAAAGAAAGAAATGGCACCCTCGCCAGCGAGGCTTTGCCATTGGCAGAATGTACCACTGCAGTCCTATCTCCGGAGAGAGGTATTACCTTCGTCTTCTCTTCACCAGCGTACGTGGTCCCAAGTCTTTTGAGGATATTAGGACAGTCAATGGGGTTATATATGCGACATTTAGAGAAGCTTGCGTCGCTCTTCATTTGATCGAAGGCGACAGAGAATGGGATCGATGCTTTGCTGAAGCACGATTGTTTGCTACCGGAGGTGATTTGCGTAGACTTTTTGTCACTGCATTGTTACAAGGTCAGTTAAGCAACCCTTCAGCACTCTGGAACAGTTACCGTGATGATATGTGTGACGACCTATCGCATAGGCTTTTAAGCCTACTAGGTGATGATTTCGCAGTACACCTTCTGAATCAAGCATTCCAGCATGAGAGCCCAGCTGCAGATTACGGCCTGTATCTATTGCAGAGAAAGCTCAAAGAGAACGGGAAAAGCCTCCAGATATTCAACCTGCCTGAACCTCTCTGTGATTGGCAATCCTTGCTCGAGAGCAGTGATGACAACCAAATCGAAGTCAACCCTCTCATAAGAAGAGCACTGATATTTGACTCTGAACAAGTCCTGATCGAGTTCAACAGAATGCATAGCCAGCTCAACCAACAGCAGAAGCACGTCTTTGATACTATCACCAGCAAGATTGAGTCTGATACTAGAAACAGCCAATTCTTCCTGCAAGGCCCTGCCGGTACAGGCAAAACATTCGTTTATAACACTCTCTGTAATTATTACAAGAGTAAAAATGAAATCGTCCTTTGCGTTGCTTCCTCTGGGATCGCTGCGCTTCTCCTTCCGGATGGCCAAACATCCCATTCATTGTTCAAGATTCCTTTGTCCATAGATGAATGCTCCACTTGCAGCATCCGAAAGGATAGCAGCCTAGCGGAAATTATCAGACGGGCCAAGTTAATCATTTGGGATGAGGTGCCAATGCAGCACAAGTATTGCTTTGAAGCTGTTCATCGCACCTTTCAAGACATCTGCGATGATCCTGATGAGCTCTATTTGTTTGGAGGAAAGCCTGTTGTCCTTGGTGGTGATTTTGCCCAAATTCCGCCAGTGGTCCGAAGGGGTAACAGGGCTGACACTGTCAGTGCTTCCATTAGACAGTCATTCTTATGGCCAAGGCTTCATCTCTTGAGACTCACTCAGAACATGCGCCTAACAAGTCTTCTGAATGAAAATGACACTGCATTTGCAAGATTTTTGGCAGACATGTCCTACAACAGTAGCCTTCAAGGCAATATCGTCCTTCCTTCATTCATTCACCAGACCACTCAATTAGCTGAATTCATCAGTAGAATATACAGAGATGAAGATATTCGAAGACCTAATTTGAGTAGTC